CTTCCGTTGCGGAACATTTAGTTTTACTTCGTTGCCGACAGACATTTGCAGCTTATAATTCTCGCTCGCCCGGCGGGAGACGGGCTTATACGCTAGTACATAATAACATGCAATAGATTTTCTAAAGACAGGAAACGAATTCGGTCCATCAACAACGGGGCACAGAGAATTAGTCAAATCAAATCACAAGTTCAGATTCAGAACTCCAATTTACACGGAAGCAAGTTAAGCAGCTTAACTCTCACGACGGCAATAAATTTGCAATGCTAATTTGAGTACTATTTTTGAAGCCCTTGCACAACCAAATGAAAGAGTCACATAAATATTTTATTTGGAACCTTATCAAATAAATCTATCGTAATGAGATCAGAATTTTCTGTAACAGATTCATTTTGATGACACTTCAACAACGCAATGAATTAACAGTATTTAGTAGAATTAAATGGAGCTGATTCTTACATGTCGCCATTATTCAAATAAAAATTTATCATGAAGTCCGGTCAGCAAATCCCTTGTTAATTTTCACTTTAATGATACGCACTGCGCAGTGCTTTGTTTAATTTTTAGGAATGCATTTCCATCGTCAATTAAGTAAATTCTATTAATTTCCTTGATCATTAAAGCATAATGATCAAGGAATTCATGGTCATAATTAGTAGAATCGTTTGTCCTTTCGTCACTCCCAATTACTTTGTCATTGTCTCACCTTCCACAACCTGCTAACAATTCCATTTGGTCGAAAAGCAATGTTTAACTTACCCAAGGGAACTGGTTTATCTCAGAGATTACGAGTCACCAGGAGAACCTCTCTTAAATCAGGAACAGATGAGACAACTACTGCTTTCTCTCTCTCTTTAGATCTTATATAACTTGGAAATCGTCATCATTTTCACCACATCAATCTTCTTCCAGTTTTTGATTCCTTGGTGTCTCGTATGTTATTTCGTAAAAAGTCATTGTTCTTCTACGTTATCAACCAGCCCAAGGTTACAACCATAGACAAACATATAGCCACTTCTAACCATAAGAGCTAAGAGTATGTAGCCCATACATAAACTGTGCAGGCAATAGAGACAGAATCACCTTTGCCCTTTATTGCTTTCTTCCAGCCATCATCACACTCGCATTTCTATTTATCAGAACCATTGAAAGCTTAATCTACGCTGTCAGGAACTAGTAGAAGAAAAGAATTTGGTCGGCTGAGACAGAATGATGGGAAGTCGTTCAATTCTCCTCTGTGTCATCTCACATAATCCTTACTTGATCCACCATCAACCCTCTGAATTCCAAACACTTTTCGCATGTGTTGCCATCACGAGAATTAAAAGCATTTGGACAATCATATTTAGGCAGCCAGAGAAACCTATTAACACAATGGCGCTGATGGTGAGCGTGAAACAAAGTCGTACAATTACTCTGTTGATCGTGTACCAAATAATTGGCAATTTCAATACGAGTTTCTGGATGATTAAATACACAGAGAAATTACTCGTAATTAGAACTGTCTTTCGAATTTGAATTGAAGCAAAATTTGTATGCATTTTATATATCCGCTTGTCAAAACTGAGGGCATTAAATGAGTTCTTGACAACTCAGTTGTGAATTAGCCAGTCTATATGTCAGTGTTGAATACATAAATAAAAATCTATCCCTATAAGTATGGAGAAAGCCAATATTTCCTGGATTAATATTAATATTGCTTGGTGCACAATATTATATACAAAATATACCCTTACACGTCCTTTGCGACATCCATCCTGAATAATACTAGATCGGGCGTTGATGAGGGAACTGAATCTGATGATTATTGTGCAATCACAAACTGATTTTACTCTGGATGATATGATAGTCTCGAAAACCCGACGACGGTTATTACAAAAATACACTTTGCCACACTAAATTTTTACGATGAAAGTAGAAAGCAGTAAAATGCACGGAACACTTTTTACTCCTTGCTCCACCAAAAATGCACTGCCAGGAATTCGAGTCAACCAAACCTAGAAGCCAACCTCCGGAGCTTTCTCCTCGCTCACTTTCACGTTAGTTAGACAGACTCTGGCTGGGCCCTTTTCTCATAACTCTCCATCGTCTGCCTCTCTCTCTTTACCCCAAATCGATTGAGAGTATATATTTCAACCATGTATAATAGTAATAACCATACCCCGGACAAATATTTTTTTATCCTACCCTACTCATGTTGAGCTCAACACGAGTAGGGTAGGATAAAAAAATATTTGTCCGGGGTATGGTAATAACCAACCACCCACCACAAGGGCAGGTTTCATCGTTGCATGAGGATCATGTATATAATCTTTTGTGGAATGACTCATAGCCCTTTATTGGAACATTAAGCAGCCAACATTGTGATATTGCATTACCACTTTTCTGTAGTTATTGGGTCTTCACTCATGTGTGGCCAAGTGCATTATTACTGCTTTCACTTTCGGTATGCTGATGCTCTGTCAAGTCTTAAGAAATGGTGCCTATCAACGTATGTACGTGGGTGAAAGATTTGTACGTGAACAGGTACATTCTGTATTACTGGCGGTATAAGCTTCACAAAAGGAGTGGAAAGACAACAGATAACTTGAATCTTGCATGAATGGTCTGCCCAGATTTTGTCATTATAACAACTCGTTGTTTAATGTCATGTTCATTTCAAACCCCACAACGGAACACTATTAATGAGACATTGAATAAAAAATAGGACAAACAGGTACACAATACTCATACATCATATTCTACGAAATGAAAATACAGCAAAATTGTAACAAAACTTGTTGGTTCTTGCTTATTTACAAAGTCAGACGAGTTCAGTATTCGGCTGTGGGATGGGATACCATGAAGATAATATCGAAATAGTTTCACCATCATTTTCATAATCTGTGCAAAGCATAGCAGAGGTATGTAGGCAAGTTGAAAGGGATTCACTTCAGGTAAAGTGAAAGCAGAGAAAGTAAATAGAACTGGCTGAACTATGCACGCCTTTCTAGACGATAAAACATTTGAGTATTGATTGCGAGAGTTGGATGTGCGAATCAGGATTCAAGTCGCGCAATTCTTCCACAAACAACGTTGCCAATCCTAAACTGTCAAGAGGAAAGCCAAGCCTAAAAACCGGATATGAAGCTTATCCCTTCACGTAACAATGAGTGAATAACAATTTCAAGTAACAAGTAGCAAGAAACGACTATAATGGTCCTACAAAGATTCATCCCCTACATATTTATATAGTTGTAGCACACTATAAATGAAGGCATACAAAGAAAAGGCACCACTAAATTACAAATTCCAGAATGCAAGCAACGCGCTCCAACTACGTGCGCGTAGAGAAGTATCGATCAACTTGAAAAGTGCCTTGGCCTAAATATAGGGACGTTGTCACTGCTGCCTGCTTGCTACCTAGGCTATGCCAAGTCCCACAAAACTACATCAGCACGAACTGGGAGAAATAAACATTAAACCTTGAACGCCCTGCTACTTCTGCTCGTAGTGGCTAAATCACCTACCCAAACCTGCCTGCCAGCCAGCCAGCTAGCTACCCAACCAACCCCAACACTTGCTGTACTGAACTTTATCCATTTCTTTCCCATCTTGAATTAGTGAAGACGAGTGAAAGTTGGTTTAGGGATTTGGCTGGGGAGCCCATGCTAGATACTAGCTGATTTTCCACGATGGAAGAGTCATCAGCTTACTCATACATACACATCCCTGCTGCTACTATTTTTTAGGCTGCAATTTAGAAAGTCTGTTCATCGAACAATGACTATTACATACGCTCATAGTCATCAAGATTCACTTTTTATTATATCGTTCGTTGCTTATCAAGCTCACTACCAGTCATCACTACCAACCACCCGTGAGGGAAACATGGAGGATACCAGAAAATGAATGTATCTCTCCTTCTAAAAAATTATAACAAAACCTTTCTGCTGATGCATGGAAATATTCGAGGAGTGGAGTGTGTGAATCTGAAACAGCAAAATATGTTTTCTCATTTTCCTAAATAACATAATTATTTTTATAGAAAGAGAACCTAGACTGGAAAAGTAGACAACATAATATAGCCTTTCATTTTTCACGCTAATTGACTTGACTAGCATGACTGCATCCCCTTGGGAGACAAATATCAAAGGTGGAACAACCGAAACAAAAGTTAGTGGAGAACAGAAAGGATGTGATTCTAACCTAACCTACTCCCTACACAATCCTATCCTACTCCTATCGTGCACATATCTCTCCATTTTCCTTGTTTCCATGTACGAAATACATGTAATGTCAGATTCTGTTCAGATGCTCTTCTCCGGTCTACGTTCTACGACAAAGCTTATGCAATTACAGTGACAAATGGAGAAGTTCAAAGCAAGAACACCACATTGTTATCTGGTAAATGCCAAAAGTACAAGAATATATTTAAAATTAGACTGCGAAAATGTTGTTTCTAGAAAAACTCCGAGTCATCCTTGTTTACAAGAAAATTAAATTGGAGAATTTTTGTTAGATTTTAAAATACAGACAGATAAATAATATGGATTACAATTATTATGACATGCTGCTCAATATGCTCAAGCAATTTATACTGTGAAATATTTGTCTTTTGAGACTTGTACATGTAACCTGAAGAAGTTTTTTTAAAAGATGGGAAACTTTAATTTCATTATGTTCAATTGTTTTAATATACTTTCAACTTTGATTTGTTGAGTTATGTTTGAAAATCGCCTTACTGTTGTGAAAGCTCAACTGGTTGCTAGTAAAACCTGTTGGACCTTTCTCCAATAGCTGGCACATTGCCAAACTCCCGAATGGAGAGCCAGAGAAGGGATATTAAAGTGATACGAGATTCACATAAACAGTCAGAGTACGTGTCAACTTTTTGCGCACTTAATGTACAGCTAAAATTTTATATTTGACCTGGCATGTCGAAATCTCAAGATCTCATAAGCAAAGCAAAGCAATTTACACCACCCATATAAGAACAGAATAAAGCTAATGTAACTTACAAAGGGGCACTAGTGACAGCACTAGTAACTGTGCTAATTGATTCCTCAATTTTCTGGACACTGCACCATTTAACAGCCAGTAGTCGAGTTACAGTGGGGTCATAGTATGACATTCAGTTGAAAAATAAAGAAAAAAATAAAAAAGAAAATTAAATCATGCAATTTGTCATCATTCTTGCTAATTTCTCCACATTAGCAAGTGCGTGATTTGATTAACAATTGATACATATCCTCTTCTATTAAAAACAAAATTGGGACTATAATATTTCCCTAAATAATGAAGAATACAATATACGTATGCAGTATTAGAATAATTTTAAAGCTTCAGCCTACCAGTTCTTATTTAATTGAGCGAAATAATATACAGTATATACTATACAGCAAAAATACAAGAATAAACTGTTGAATTATTGCTATATATTGTCGTAAACTTGAAATATTTATTACTTACGCAGTGGAATCCCGGACGCTTTTAATGCCGATTCCCATGTCTTGCGTAAACTCTCCTGCGTGGACATTAATATATATTTTTTTTAATTTTGTACTTTCATAATTGAGATTAACTGAATATTAAAATACATATAAACACATCATCTTATTGTAGCATTTCAATAAAATGAAAATACGTTGTCCAAAAACTCACCCCATACGGTCACGCCTAGTTTTCGCTTCAACTCATGAGCTCGTCTAACTTTAGCGTTAAGCACCTGTCATAAATCATAATATATTTAGGATAATACGAATTATTCTACTATTACTATGATATGTTTTAGCTACTTGTCTCAGAGTTTGGATTTCGTCTTCAACTTGATTCAACTCTCCTTGCCATTCAGCTCTCAGAGCTTCTCGTTCCTCCTGGGTTAAGGACGGGTCAATTGGTGATCCCAAATCACTAGTTACCGAGTTGGACTGGCTCATTCCGAAAGTATTTCCGGTTGGTTCTAAAAATAAACATTGTAAATAATATCAGTTATTATCTTTTTAATATTGTGATACAATTATGTACGTATTAATGGTAACAATATATGCATGAAAAATATTAACCTTCTCCAAGCGTTAAATAATTTTTATAATGGTGAGCAGAACTAACTCTAGCAGTGTAAGGCTTATCTAGGTTATGATAAGTCACTCGTATATGTTTCTTGGATTTTTGTTTCCCAACCATTCCCTTTACACTCGCAGCCACTTTACGGGCCGTGTCTCTCACATTTCCCAATCTACGCATAGTTCCACTACTGCTATTAGAACTACCACTGCAAGTTCCTCCTTCAGTCTCATTATCATCACAGTTATTAATGCTAAAATTTTGATCAAGTTCAACGTGCACATTTTCATGATCAGGAAGTAAACCTTCAGAGTTGGATTGATCCCCACTTCCGGAGCTGGACACAGTGGTGGCGTCAAAAAATTCTAGATCTGAGCCTGAATCATCTTCATCACTCGTTATATTAAACTCAAAGTCTTCGAGGACAAATTCTTGGTCTAGAGTGAGATCGGGTTCGGGTTCTTCTGTAATTTTTAAATTTCCAACTAAATCTGGGAGTGGATCATCTAAATATTCGTCCTTATGGTCCGGAATAGAGTCCTTCACATTATTATTTTCCAAGTCCCCCATTTTACTGGAAGTACCAGTAGAAAGATTTTGTCTACTCATGGCTAAAAGCCTAACAGCACAAAAATACAATACAATAGAACTCCTGATACCTAATGACACTCTTAATCACTGTTCACGCCACAAAAACTCAAGTTGGTTAAGGGCGAATCAAATAAAAACTCCAGCTGATGTCTTCCATATGACCATTTGATAACTGATGATATACTTAATATCCTGCCATCATATTTTCTCTTGGGTAAAGGTTGTGTGATGTGAATACTCAACAGTTGGTTTCTCTTATCAAAAAATAAATGATGCACACGTAATTACAGCGGAGAGCAAAGCAGAATCCCATTCACACAATTTGTCATGATCGTTAACATGAGCACTACTCAATACGTCCTTAATAATTATTCACCCCGAGTGAATGTGTGATTAATTCTCCATTGCATTATCAATCATTCGTTGTTGATAATATAGCACATATTACGCACTATACGTCATTATAATAGCGCACCTATTTAATATATGGAGAAATATTAATTTTCTTTGATAAATATTCACGACACGGGGTATTCGAAAATTTAAGCGAAAATTACTGATGCAAAATTTGTATGCACAGTCAGGACTTATTTATCCTCGTCTCGGTTTAGGAAGATTTGCAGATACGGAAGCAATCGAATGTACAAAAACTATTACATTTGACACTTTGAATGATTGACACCATCGTATCAAATATTTCAGTAAATAAAAATGTGGCTTGATTCAGAGTGTATAAAATCTACATAAAATGCACGTTGTGAACTTCAAATTGGAATTACAACATGTTGGAATGTACTGCTATATTCAACTCAACTCAACCAAATGGCAGCACTGCAAAACTGTACTTTTTTTCCTCATCAATTCTGTTTAAATCGTGTCTTATGGCTTCACCACAACTGCAGAAATTCTGTGTAATACAATGCGAACTGAACAACAATATACTTAATAATGAAGAATGACGGTCCACTTTATTCTGCAATTTACAAGCGATGCAATGCAAGTCACACTTCACTCATTCGGCTCTTGAACTGATGGCATAGCTGAACTAATTTTAGCACAAATAATGTGCTACTTGTGTTGTAATTAACTTGAAAGTCGAAACCCAAGATTTAGAGTACTTGATCTTTTTTTTAATTTTTTAAAGTAGTACGTAATGCGAATGCTGAATGTAATGTTAATGATTATCCCACTACACCATTTGCTATGGTCAACTTAGAAATAGCCACAAATAAAAATTCTGCAATGACGTATGAAATACAGCAGCTGAGATTTGCAGACAATACGGAATTTACGTAAACGACGTGGACCCCAAAAACTTATGAGTCGCAAGCAGTAGTAGCAAGACGAGGGCTAAAAAACTGACATCCGTTTACAGCCACAGGCAATCGCCTCCCAACAAACTACTGCCGAACTGAAATTAAGTATCTCAACAACAAATTGTTGAGGGTGGATTTGAAATATGCAAAAGCTACCAAGTGGGTATCTCTTTAGTATTAACGGTACTTAAAGTTTAAACCACCAGCAGAATATTGTCGGTGCATGAGTCAAATGAAACTTGTCTATCGGCCTTATTGAGCTTAAAAATGGTCATCTTAACACAAATATTTCATTTTTCACAAACTAAACTATTGTCCTATGATGCTCATGTAAAATTGGTAAAATTTGGATGTCACTTAGGATTAGTCTTTATATATGCATTACATTAAATCGTCACTAACCTGTAGGTGTTTGAAGGCTCATCTTGGTGCTCTTGAACTACAACGAACAAAATTACACGATTTCCACAAAGGAAGGCAGCTCCAGGCCGGTCGTAAAAATCTTTGGAAAAAATAATTAATTACTGTTAAAAAGATTAGTGAATCAAGCCTTTACTGTATATGATTGTACAATATTTATGCTTCTTTTCTAACTTGTAGATAGTGTTGTATTACTAAATAGCTTAGAAATAAGATCTGCTCTCTTATGAACTCATCCTCAGTAATACAAACACATTGAATATTTCGAAATATGACTGAAACTAAACTCTAAATATGTTGTTGACGAATCTTCAGAAAGTCAGGAGGGAGTGAGTCATAATTATTTATGTGGCTCGTGCGCTTAATAAGGCAATATTGTACAAGATAACTTCCTCATAAATTTTAACCAAAAAACATACAATTATATAAAGAAATATCAAGTGTATACATGGTCAAGGCAATTGGTCAATGTGGTCACACTGTGTGACTCACACAACATATGAATTGACTAATAATTAATACCATGATACAATAAAAACGGTAAAGTAAGCAGCATTTATAAAACCTAAAGCCTAGCCACGATGCAGTGTAAATTAGTGCGTATTAAACCACCCCCACGGGGAGACTATCAAACTGTGACAAAACCTATCAATAAAACATAACCACACCACAGCCATCACGTCCGAGAAAGAATAGAAACTATTACTTACTTGTACTCGCAAAATACAATTTGCAACGTAGAAAATTGCTTTTGAATTGATCGACCAAACGTCAAATCAAACTGTTATTTGCTAGGATTAGTTGGATGAGTTTGAGGATGCAGATTTTGTGAGTGAGCTGTCGGATCAAGTTGCTTCGTAGTTCTCACTCACTTTCAAAGACTGCGCTTCAACCAAAATATCGCACCTCGTCCGCTCTGCTGTTTTTCCCAGCTGCAAAAACTAATTATTTTTGCACAACCAATTTAAAACTGGACTGGGTTCAATTACCGGTGAGTTGTTGTTGTTGGCTAATTGTGTCGCATAATGTTGCTTAATTGTATTGACAAGCTTTAGTTAGTAGTGTTCTTTTTAATGTGGAGTTCAGTGTTTGGTCAATTGTTCTTTTTGTATTGCATTATTTGCATTGCAACCTCCTAATATTGGTATTGTTACCTCATTTTTTTATTGTTTTTTTTAGTTCAACCCGCATCTAATAAGTCAATCAATCCATTTCCCGAATTGTTGTTTTCTCCTGCAGTTAAATGTCGATTTATCGCTGCTCAGGGCTAGTCAGGAAACCGTCTGGCCTTATCCACGAGATCATCCATCAATTAAAAGTAGTTGACCTTCGACCTGTGCAAAGGATTGAGTACAAGTTTGATCCTTTCCACCAAAGTGCGAAACACGTTCGAGACTTGAGTTTTTGGCTATCAAGTCCCAAAATTAGAGATACCAATTTCAAGTGCGTATTCAAAACCAGCGTTCTTTCTAATTTATCTCCTCCAGAAATTCATTGCAAGCTCGGTAAGGCACCACAATTTTATTCTAAACTGGTTTACTATTGAATCTTTTTGACACATATTATAAATATTATGTTACAGATAACGGGAAAGAATTGATTTTCAAAGCGGAAAATTTGTCTCTACTGGAAATTTTGGAAGAGTTTAACAAGATTGTACACCCCCTGCTACCTCCTCCTGAAGTGACTACAGCTCCTCTAAAAACGAAAAGCCAGAAGAAAAAGTAAAACTACGTCGACAATAATCCTCCAGCCAGTTGCCGTTGTTTTAGTAATAGGTCAGTAAGAATACCTTTGTAGTTCTGTATAAATACCTGTCTCATTTGTACATAAGTCCGATTACAATCTAAAAACAATTAATACGGTTATGGGTATGACGGAAAAGAAGGCTCCGCTGGAAGCTATTAATAACATCTACAATGAATTTCCTTCTTTCACTGACATCTTTGACGAGGATTCTTTCTACATCTTTGTATTTTGTTTTACGCTCTGCACCATTCTCGGAGCGGTGGTTTTGTCGCGATTTATCACTCTGAAAGAACGAGACCTCTAAACCAAACAATAATTCATACAAAAACATAACGTTTAGTCATTGACAGGAGGAGCTGCTAATTTTGTAAATGTATTTGCCAATCAATTTGTTGTCACTTCTTCATTTTCTCACATTACAAAAAAAGACCAAAAACACGCTCAAAAATTATTTCTCAATTTCTCATTGAACCTAGTCAACATGATTATGATTGAATATTATTATTATTTATATGCTGCAAGCTACACCCTCTTACTATATGTGTGAACTTCATATAATGATATGATCCTAATTGTTACTCGAGATGATAGTAATCTTCTTTAAGAAGAAGAATATTGACTCACTTAGGGTGCAGTAGTTCAATTGTCTGTCACGTTCTAGATGATATCAGTCAAAGGATGTGCATGCAAATGCAAAAATTATTAGTCAAAAATTTGTGTTCTCAATGCTACTTTTAATGTGAGTATTATGCATTTGAACTAATTGTGAGTAATTTATGTAATATTTATTTCGCTTTTACAGTAAAATGTAGGTTGGAATAAATACAAAAAGTGGGTTATTGTTATACTATTTAACGTGTACATATCTGTCCTGGTTCTATTCAATGGGCAACAACATTTTTTAAATTGTGGTAGTTTGCATATTTTTTGACAAACTAATTGTCATGTATATAAAACTGCAATCTCTGCCTTCAGTTTCATTTTGTAGCGACTCAACAGTCTTCTTCGTAACAGTTTTTAATATTTCTCCCTCGAATTGCTTTTGGAAGATATAGCCGATTCTTCACACGAACGCCAAAATCTAGAATGCAACCTGGAAATAGCATAACCTCAATCGTGATTAATCCCTTTAAATATTTTCAAATTGGTTGTTAATATATTTACTTCTGTACCTTCAAAGCCTTTGTGCAGTGGCAAATCGTGCGGCAATCCTTCAAATCGAAAGGCATCATATCCTCCTAGGAAAAGCTCAGTGTTAACATTCAGTCGATGGAATGGGCCTGGCGATTTCCCAGTCACGTTCCTCATTCCATCCACTTTCAGCCAACACTGTCTTCCTGATTTTCCAGCAAATAAGGTGTGTACATTTAAACGTTTTTCTATTCTGCTCGGTGTAATGATTCTTTGCGTCCCAGAGCCCAAGTTCCATGTAAGCGCAATGTACCCATTTACATACGTGATTGCAAAAAAGTCGGAAACTCTCTGTGTCCCAATTTCATTATTACTGTTACTATCGGTGGCTAGTAATTCAGCATCTCGCGTGGAGGTACTACCATCCTTTAATATCTCGGTGAGTGCGTCGAGGTCATCTGGATTTGAAATGGCAGATGTGCTCAGGCTTTGTGTGTAGCCAGAGTAAAGCAACAAGGCAATTTGAGAAGTATTGTAGATGACAAAATGGAATTTCAATTGCACCCAATCTGCGAAACGAGGAATTGGTTCGTATGCAATGAATGCGGAATAGTCAGAACCAATTGGCTTAAATGAGGGTTTTGTGACATTTAGGAACGTTTGGCACTGAGAACCCGTATATCCCAAGGGACAGAGGCAGTGTTTAGGATGATGAGAAGTAATTTCTGTAGAGTTGGAACTTTCATTGCTTTCCTCAAGCAGAAAAGTGCATGTAGCTCCGTTCCTTAATATCAAATTATTGGTATTAACTATTAATATGTCTAGATTTCATGATTAATTAGTAATTAATTAGACTAAAAATAGCTTACTGGCAAGGGTTAGAATCGCAAACTCGAATATGACATCTAACCCCTTGAAATCTGTAAGTTTGACAAGTGAAAGTTAATAATCTGTTAACAAGATTTGAGATAAGCTGTATGAACTGATATGGTATTTTACCCAGGAGAACATATGCATTGCCAGAATGGAAATTTATTCCACGGAACACATTTAGATCCATCGAAACATGGATTAGTGACACAACCAAATGCAGAGCATTCAGCAACTTCTTTCCCATCTACAGCATCCTCGAACAGGTCCTTGGTCTCATCATTTATCTATTATAGATGGAAATAATTGCATACATTCGAGTGTTCTGTTGTACTTCAATCAATAGAAATTCCTTTAGTTACCATTAAATTATAAAGACATCCTTTAAACCTGTATTAGATGACTTCTTTATAAATATGCACAACCACGATAGATTTGATAGATATATTGTTAATTGTAAAATTTACCCCGGCATTATTCCGATGAGGTCATCACTTTTCCTTGCATCATAACCAGTTGTTGTGTCCACCCCTCCCACATAAATAAATTGGATTGGGTTCTCATACAGCTCATTTTGTCCCACAATTTGTTCACCCCGCATAACATAGGAATGGTTCACGCTAACTTGGCCAACGCAATGAATCTCGTCGGTAGTTAAGCTCTGTTGAAGCAACATCTCCAAGCTAAACTCCAGGGTGAAATTGTAACCATTGTCGATCCTCGTTCTTGTCTCCACAAAATGCATTGACTGAGCTGAAAGGAAGAAAGTCACATCAGTAATATTAAAGTTCAGTAATAGATAGTCATAAGGTGTTATCAGTATTAATAAAATCAGGAAAAACAAACCCACCTCCACATGAAAAATGGAGACTGATGTGACCTCCCTGAGTAAATATTAAAGCGTACAAGCGTCCCAATGAGCTGGACTTAAAAAAGAGGATTCCATCGGGAACATTGGTGGCTAGAGTCGTTTTCACAGTTATTTTGTTAATGGAATCGTTGGGTACTGTGTACCCGAGGAACGAGTCGCCAGTGAATGACACGGTTTCAAATCTCTTTCTGGGTTTCTCGCAACGACTGCCCGAGAATTTAAATGTACAAGTACAAGAAGGTTCTATAGAGTCAGATTTGCATATTCCATTGTTTAAACAAAAGTTTTGACATGGATCAGTGTGCGAGTCGTTGGTAATGCTTGGGGGAGTGGTGGTTGTCGTCGAGTATGGTGTCGTTGTGAGGTGATAAAATGAAGACGAGACCTCAGGATCTGAACTGACAGAGGTTGTTGGCATAATAGTTGTTACTGTGGTCTGAGGGAAATAGGATGACGATAAGGACAATGGAATACTACCAGTTTCGAAGAGAACATCACTCAATGACTCTGAAATAAACGCTTGTGATGACGAGTAATCAATCAGTATAGTAGAAGTTTCAATACTTATGGGCAGTGTTGTTGAAGAACTATTTAGCAGCGCTTCATAATCTGATTGTGAGTGATCGATTATTGCGGTATCAGGTGGCAGTGACATGGTGTGACTTGTTGATGCAGTCGTAGAAATAATAAGGTGTGTGGACCATTCTTCTGAAATTTCCAGCGTAGATGATGAATATTGGCCAATTGTAGTGTCAGGGAAAACAGTCGTGAATGGAAATGCTTGGCTAAGTGTTGGAGAAAGTACAGTTTGTTCGGGAAGGTGAGTCTGGTGAGTTGTAGACAACAATGATGATGCTAATGGTAGTGAAAGGATAGAATCCGAGCTATACATTGCGGATTCTAATTCCACCGTAGAAAACTCGTACGAAATTGTTGGCTCTGATATTTCTTCTGAAGATATGACATTTGTTGAAGATGGCAATGTTCTAGTCGTCAATAGTACTGAATCTGAAATACTACTGGTTAAGCTCCCTGGCTCAAGGGCAGTGGCAGTGGTTAGCAGTAATACGCTAGGAAAGTATGATGTTTGTGATGTTGTCCTAATACTACTCTCTTCAATTTCATCATTTGTTGTGGGAGTTGGCGACGGAATGCTTTCTTCACTTGGTTTTATTTCGTCCACTCTCACAGACGAGGAGAGTACAAAGTCGCTAGCAGAATGTACTTGAGTTACTGACTGATAAGTGGATGAGGACACAACTCCAACTGACATTATGTCTTCAGAGCTGGACAGAATTGTTTCTGTGAGATCTGGTTCTGAAATTGATGGTGTCACTCTAGGAGTAGGAAATAAGCTCATGAAAGAAGAAGGAGTGATCGATCCTTCACTGCCTTCCAAAGAGATGGAATACTCAACGGTAAATGCCGACAAGGTTTGTAGCGAAGGAGTAATAATTGTGGACGTTAAAAATGATTTGGCAGAGTCCAGTAGCTGTATTGATGAGTCGATGGCCGAGTAATGATCTGATACTGGTTCAGTTGATAAAAATAATGATGAAGTGCCTTCAATTACACTCGTCAGTTCAGACTGACCAGGAAATTGGGTTGACAGTCCGAGTGAAAAGGAAGGAGTTGATGGCTGCGGATAAATAATTTCAGACGCCGAAACAAATGTTGTAGCATTACCGCAGGAGGGGTCCGTCATGTTTTCTAAGGTGCAGTGACAAAAAATTCCTGATATATTTGGTGGACAAGAACATGAAAATCCTCCAACGCCTGCAGATGTAATAAAATGGTAAAATCTTAATCGTTTCCAATGTACAATATCATTTAAAGCTATGAGCAGAATATGGATTACCGTCGATACATGTCCCACCATTGAAGCATCTGTAATATTATGCCATTTTTAAGCTAATATTTTCTAATATATATTTCATACATAAATGTTTGAATAATATTACTTGGGTCCAGGGCTGCACTCATCATATTTAAATTCGCACGTAAGACCATAATAGTCAGGCACACAGTAGCATGTGATTTTTTCTGGAGACTCATCTTCGTCCTCGTGTAAACAGAAAGCACCATTCCTGAGACAAACGTTGGAAAGTTTAATCATGTAATTGCAGTTAAGAATTTCTACTAACTGCACACAAAATGCAAACTCACTTGCAAGGATTTACTTCACAAATTTTTAGTTTTTTCTCACAGGTTTTCCCCGTGTATCCTATATACATACGTATCATATTAATATGCATTTACATTTTTAAGAAGGTCATAAACATCTTTGAGTACATTTTATTTTAAACACTTACCAAATGGACATGCACAACCAAAATCATTTATCTTATTTACACAGATTGCACCATTTAAACAGGGTTCACTGGAACAATTGTCAATTTGGCGTTCACATATTCGCCCTTCCCATCCGGGCTCACAGTTGCAGTGAAAGCTTTCTCCAACCCCATCCAGACACTGACCCCCGTTGAGACACACCCCATTAACAGTAGTATTGCAGACAGAAATGTCCAGCTCACATTTCGAACCTATGGGAGTAGTCAGACTATACCGCTGATCGTTATTGTAACCCTATGCTCAATTAAAAATGGACTTTCTAGTTACCTGAAAAGCCGGCTGGGCAGGAACAAGCTAATACACCTAAACAAATTATGATTAGTATTTTCATACTCACATTCAGGAAAAGAGATTCCGCGATAAGTATCCTTACTGATTACCTGTTAAATTTGCAGAAGTTGAGTCGTCGACTATTGTGCATGTGCCATTGTTGAGGCAGTCGCATGCTGACAAATCATACTGACACAGAGCACCTGCAAGTCAAGGAAAATTTGCTTGAAATTATTTCTGCAACTTATTATAGTCACTTCTCAAAATACCTCGAATAAAAATAAGAAACAGGGCAAGTTTGCCAATAACGTTTGACATTAGGGGATCACTAAATGTGTGTCTTTAATAATGTAATTATTGTCTCTCTTTAACCGTTGAATTTCGGCTTAATTGATACCACCACCATTGACTTGCAGCTTATTTGAAGACTCATACTCCAGAAACACCCTGTCAAGCGTCCAATTTAAAACTGAACCCTCGAAAATGTTTCGGAGGGGTAACTGCTTCATAAACAATCAATACGTACGCCTACATTTGTGAGGAAAACTACGGTGGTCTGTTTTGTAGATAAACGCTCGATACAACAAGGGAGGAAAATTAGGGGATGAAAAATGCAAACCCTTTTTGAGTCATTTCTCTTCAACTCGGTCCCTACTTTCAGTACTACTTTCCCCTTGATGACTTATTTAGTTTCCTTTTCTCCTTCAACCCTGTACAACTATATTATTGACTCCTACATGAATGTGTATTGCGTTATATTGAATTACTGTGTGCAGAGCTCAGCCACAACTCGCTACATTCTCAACTTGACTGTCAGTAATTGTTTTTTTTCTGATTGTCTCTGGTACTTATTATTTATTGCTTCTTCTTGCGACGGGTGCATATAATTCTAGCTCTATAATTCTAATTCTAGTCTAACCACGACCACAGGAGTTGGGGTTGAATAATTTAGTGCTGTCTCGGTAGAGGTTGGCTAATTCGAAATGGTAAAACGCACGACGACGTGATTTAGTTAGTGTTGACTATCTCTCTGAATAGTCTGAATTTCATGCCATATTTAGATGGGTGTGTCGTTATTCGGAGTATTGAACGTGAAGTGAATGACCAAATTGGATGAGGTGCTCAATCAAGTAATAGTTTTTTGTCGCATGGTACTGTTTCCTAATGCGGATAGACGGATGTCAAGTTAAGCAGAGTTCAATAGGCTCATGGTTGTTTTTATCTGGATCAGAGTGAATAGACTGCAGTACTGGAACTGGCATATTTTAACCAAGTAATATTCCACCCCATGCAGATTGACTACCTAAATACGTACAACCTCCGGTGAAATTACACAATTGGGTGAATTATTGTGCAACTTTGCCATGATTCTATACTTTTGTAACGTATGTCTGCTTGGAAGGAGCTGGATACCGGAAGCGACACGGTTCTCGATGTAATACTTACATGCATAGTGTCTTCAGCAGACAGGTGTATTCGACAGGGCTGGCCAAAATACTCAAAGTCAAAATACACACAAAATATAGACCCCAAAGTTATTTCGTGTGTATTGCACAAAATACATTGCACAATAAAGCACTTTTGGATTTTTTCGAAAAAAAAACACAAAATACAAAATACTTTCAGCGAATCACACTTACTACTCGTGATGCTACCTCATACTTTCGCTAGAAATTTAATGTCTACAAAAATCGTGTTGAGTTTAATTTTTTAAATTAAAATGGATGGAATGTTAATGTTTATTTCACATTGGTTTCACAATTGGTTGAAGCTTCTATCGCTAATATGCAGGTTTCTAGAATCGTGGCATGTCAATGAAATAATGTCGTCTTCAATTATTTGCACCTTTACGATTTAGAAAGATTTTTGCACAAAAATCAACGGATTAACTACTTTTTCAGTTGATATCTCCATTATTAAAAAACATTAAGATTAAAATGTGGTTAAATATAATCCGCACACAAGACAGTAAAACCCAAAAAATTGAACGTAAAGTGTAACGGAACTGTTAGATATTCTCAGTTTCCTGGTGACTTTCGACTCAAAAGTATTTTGACAATATATTTTGTATTTTATCAAAATACAGATACATACTTCGGGAGTGGGATACTCAACCTAAAATATGCCAGAAAATACAGGATACATACAAAATACGTATTTTGTGTTTCTATACATTTGTATCTTAAAGATACTATATTTTGGCCACCCCTGGTACTAGTAATGGGTCTACGACTAACTCATATAACAAGACCTTCTTACGTATGTTTATGAAACTATACATAGATAAGAATATACATGCGTATGCATATACCAATGAATCATTGGCAATGATGTAGGATTCTCTGAGAGTCATCAGAAATATCTACCCATTGAAGCAAAGGGAGGGACGACATTGATCAAACACGGCATTTTTCGTAATTATTGTCATGCATTTTGTTGTGACTGGACTAAAACTTAATTGGATTGGATTGATAATAATACAGCAGAGGGTTGCTATTGGATTGAATTTGGTCTTGCATAAACCACTCATATTATTGCAATGAGCCACAGATTAGTGTATGTAGATATCATGTTCTACATGTATTGTGTAACTTATAGTTTGCTTGCATAATTTATAACCATTGAATTTCTTGATTTGACTTATAAGACCCCCTGGTTCGATATGCTTGTTCAATTACTCATGATGTGCATAGTTAGTTAAAAAACAATTTACTTGGTTCAATTACGGCTATAATTTCATGATTGGTAAACATGCAAGGAAGTGCATAAATAAATCTCAGCAAGGAAGGGCTCATTCACTTCCATATTCATGAGGATTACATTGTCTAACTTTAATGATGGGACATGGATTGTTTGATCGAATTTCTGAACGGCAAAGTAATTGGAGGAAGACAAGAATTTATTTCCTCTCCTCGTGTGGAAATCAGCAAGGTAATCATATTTATGTGAACACGGATTTTCATAGCTCGTGCAATCTAAAAGCGTCCACTTAACACGTTGTACATATGTCTAAACGAAAAATCATGGCATTCCATTGAAGTGACCCTTTATCTCGTAATAACAGGGGCATAATGAAGCAATGCAGATAATCCAATCTGTATTAAAATGGATGCAGGGTGTGGTAGGATATTGAAATCACATCGCTCTAATGAGATTTGTACACAATGGTTGTAACATGATCACAATTCCACCAATTCAATTTATGAGGATGAAAATGTAGATTTGAACCTGTAAAATTATCAGGACACGAGCAATTGAACGATGCAATCCCATCTAAACACTCTCCTCCATTTTGACAAGGATTTGAGGAACATTCGTCCCAGTTGATCTGACATGAATATCCTGTAAATCCGTTGCGACCTAGTGAACATGAAAGTCAAATAAACTTATGTTCAAAAGTAATGAAAACTTTTATTATTCGATGTACACATTCTTACAGTAACATCGGTAGTCATCATCAACTAGGGCTTCATCCTCATTTAACCAGAATGTATCACTTCTGGAAAGATAAAATTATAATTTAACAAATTTTAAAATTGAAATATTTGTGGCATGAGTTTCATTTTTATTTTGCTGAATGATTCACCCCACTCCTGAATCTATACAATTGAATGAAAGCTAAATTCAATACATTGAGCGATGTATGTACCTGTTGGTGTCCAAATAGTCAATACATATTCCATGAAAACAGGGAGACTCCAGGCAAGCGAATCCACCCCTGACAGATTTCACCCTTGTCGTTAGGATAATGAAATACGCCGTTATTTTTAACCAACATGATGCAGTACTCCAAAGAGATCTCGACATTTCACAATCTCTTCCCTTATGGGGCGATGTGCTAACTCTTCACCCTCAATTCCGTTACACTGAGAAATAAGTATATTCAATTTCCAACATGATGACAACGATAAATGTTTCTGCGATTTATGTGAAAATTTTGTATACATTTCACTTTTTATAAATTTGTGAAACTGCACAAGTACATGGTGTTCTATATTTTGTCGTCTGTCAAGGTGCGATTGCAACTGACCGATTGCACAATTCGTTTATTTCCGCAGTCTCGTTTGTGTGTGGATGTCAATAAGGGTCGGTGAAGATGGGATGCGAGATAACGATAAGACTATTTCAGTATCTTATAAGGCGTGAATTTTTTGCTCTTTTTTTGAGGGGGGGGTTGGAAATTCCTGCTCCGAATGGCAGGTGAAAGTGGTAACAGTCCGTATCAGTCTCTTCTCTCCACACACACATGCACACACTTCTTGGCCAGAGCTCATGTGAATCTGGCATATGCGAGCCGGATTCCTTTACTCGAGAGACATTCGAGAAACATCTCAGCCAGATATTTGACTAGTAACCTGCTTTCTTTACACCGGTCTCATAAGAATATCATGCGTCAAGTAGGGGTTTGTTGCCGGAAACAACCAATATTTTTACACACGATGCTGCAATAATAAACAAGTAGTTTCGTGCACTTGGTTAAACTATTTAATTTTTGCTAGGAATCTGAAACTAGGAATAATATTCTCAAATCAATGAGTGTAATCAATCGGATTTGTTTTAATTTCTTCGCAATGTGTATGTCGCTGATTTAAAAAAATTCTCGTCGCCTCGTGGGCATTAGACTTTCTCTTCTGATACTTATTATATAACAAGTTTTTTGCCATGAGTCATTTCATCATCTGAGTTCCGTTTGCATTCCATATGTGGCTTACTTTCATGTGAATACGCATTATTGCAATGCACATAAACCAGCAGCATCGGAGTGCAGAAGGAAAGGCATGGTATTAGAAGTTACATAGCTCGGTGAAAGCCGATGCCCCCAACGGTTGACAGGTAGTCGACCGATTGTCATGACGACCCTCGCCACATAAGGCAAAACACTCTTGAGGAAATGGGTCACATTTCCCCTTCTCTCTCATTCTGCAATTCTATTGTTTCAGCCATCGGTCAACTACTGGAAGCAACTGCATGTCCACAAATGATAACTACACGCAAGAGAATGATGATTTGCGCGACAACATTTTGTGTTAAGAGCTATCGATAAAACATTTTGACGGATGAGTAGAAGCTCGCTTAAATTCCAAACATCAATGAATATGCTTACTAATCATTCATATCGACCGCATTAAAGCTACATTTTTCCAATTTTAAAAATTGCAGTTAAATATGGCAATAATATATTTTTATTCTACCTGAAATAAATATAAACACGTTTTAAACCGCTTACGTAAGTATGCATGTGCCCTTGGTCAGTAAAATCAGTTTAACATGAGTTTGGCACAATTGTAACTGTAACATACACTTTTCAAGGCTTACCACTACATATTTCTATTTACCTACTGCTGATCTCAATGACAATGATTGACATCTGTCACATACGCTTGAGACTCACTTTTTCTTTACGTCTCATCACCTCAATCTACACACACATTCTTGATCTTGTTTCGTTTCGCTTAATAGCATGCAATTTATGTTCATGATTGCTTGTACCGTACAAAAACTATCAGATATTTTGTAGATATGAAATGTATTTACGTGTGGTATAGTGTATAAAAATGTTAAAAGTGAATGTTGTTGTGGCTGGTTGGATTCGAATGTTGTTATTATTGATGCCAATTTCATTATTTCAGATTCTATAAGTAATACAATCTTTCACAATAATAATGGAAGGAGAGAAGGAAGTTTATTGTCTTGAGCATTGTAAAGGAAAGAAAATTTTTGGATTTCAAATTCCAAATCACTGTCCACATTGTGCGGAAGATTTAAAGAATTGTGAGCTAAAAATGCCTCCATTTAGGTAAGTATAAATTTTAACTGCAAAACGTAATTATTATACTCCTCTTTGTGCTAAAACAGTTTCATGCTGTGTACAGGGTACCCTCTCCTTTTGGAAATGCAAAAAATTGTCCTTGTTCCATAGTATTGAAGCCAACTACAGGGAATTTTTTAACGTGAATTGAAAATTATTATTATAGCAAATACTCTTATACATACTTACATTGTGTCATTACCATTGTGTCGTTTTTGGCATTTCAGAGACTACAAAAAATCGGATAATTTGCACATGGGAATCGTCTCCTCTTTTGGGACTGTGTACGAGTTTGATATGGACGGACTGCGCTATGATAAAACTTACACTTGGTCTCGATGTTTAGTTATTAAAGATTTAAACAAAGATGTTGATAAAAATTCATGGGCTCAATACTGGGATTTCACCTTGAATGTTGTCGCTGGTCAGGATAACTGGAAGAAAATAAGGTGACATCATTTTACTATTATGCATTCTAGTTTAAAGATAATTAAGTAAATATGCTCTTCATATTTAATGTTACTTTACAGATATGACGAAGACAGGAACAACTGTTTTTCATTCGTGCTTGCATTTCTACGAGCCCTTCAGTGTCCAGAACTTAGTCATTATGCCAGAGATCGTCGTCAATTTTGTGAGAAATATGTACTCCCCAAGACTGCATTTGCTGCAAAGTACATTTCTCTTTACAGGAAATTACTAAGTCAAACTTAACCTTACTCTTTTTTAAATTCTATTATTACCATGAACTGTCGAAAAGGGTAATAAAAATTGACTGATTATTAACTCAACATTATTGTGTAATTTGATCAACCTTTTGTCCCTCTATTTCAATGGCTTTGCACATAATTTGGTCGTCAATGTCAAATTTGCGATAATGGTTTATATCGGAAGCAAATATAGACCAAACGTGTGTATGTATATACACGCAGCTCAATTACTTTCAAATTCCAAAGTTTCGCCCAAATCTAATTCATTTTCATTCAATCTACTCTGAGCTGTCATGAAAAATGATTGGATTGGCCAATGCTCAAGGTTGTATTGTTCAGCACAATAGAACGTAAGTACTAATATAATTTTAGAATCTGCTGTTTGCTAATGAGTCGACAAGTAAATAAAACAAAAGAACTTGATCTAAAATGCACAGTCACAAGACGGATCATCAATGCATAGACTTATTATAGCCCCATTTTACACATACTTACATACATTTTTATGGGTATCCGTCAAGGGTGGATTGAATTGTTCAAAATAATAATGAACTGAATGAGCAAGAACGCCAGCCAATAATTACATATATAATGGTCGAACAGCCCGTAGCACACTCAAAATTGTACTGATTCACAACTTTATAAACTGCCTAATTCGACACCCTCATTATACAACAGAGTAATACGTGTAAATATCTAATCTAGAATCTAATCTCTCCTGAATGCGGTAATAAAAGAGTACATGAGATTTAAGCATTTGTAGCTAAAGGAGGTATTATTACATGAAAATTGGCACAAATTCCTAATGCAATAATTTTTGTAATCTTTATAATATAAGGTTACTGCATTCCCATCTCTCATCGTTGAATCGTTGCTGAACATAATTTGATTATCTACTAAATCTATTTACAATATTTCATGGTAGAACAGCTATGACATAATAGGTACAAAATAACTTTGCCCACCACAACCTAGCAAAAATCATCACTCTTGCAAATTGTACATTTATTGTAGCGTAATATTAATTAGCGCAGAGATGGATTGGATTGTTTAAGTTTTTACATTCATACGTACAACGTATGAACATGTGCGCTTCCTTAATTCAAGAACATTTTCATGCAATGAGCTACCTTTTTGCAACAAATCTGCCAAGAACTATTACTTTCATTGTTAGTGTGGTTTTGCTGGTGCAACAATCAGTCTTCACAATTTTATCTAGTAATGACGGACCAGTAGTTGCAGTAGTCAGTCAGTATTATTAGAAGGGAGTGATAAATAATTTGGCTGTGCATTAGATTGATTCGCTTAAAATGCTTCTGTTAGATTTCCTCACCAATTGCTAATCTAAGTAGTTGAGTATTTTTTGTCAGCATAGTAGGAGTGGTGGTAGCAATCCAATAGCTTAATTTTTTCATGTGGTCATCAAATGTAACAAACGAGACCAACTTTGGATTTGTGCAACTGACAACAATTAGCTCAGCCAAACAATCGCGAGCACACCAATGGGAGAAATATTAAACGTGTCATAAAGCTCAATTTAATGGACTTGATTCATAATAATTCGTCTGTTCCTCCTCAACTCCGTCATTAAACTGTGTGTTAAGGTAACAATCACAAAGTTGACGTGGAAGAAGGAATGTCTAGATTTCCTCGAGTTCAGTTGTGGTTCTAGCGTCCTAAGGAACGGAAGGATATTGCATCAAGTCCGTATGTATTTTGGTTGTGGAACACAAGACCAATAAAAAAAGAAAGGGACTTCAGTTTCTGCTCTGTTGTGGACTGTTTTTCATTCGGACAAAGTAAACATAATCAAGTATAAGACATGGTTTGCTTGACTTTGCATAGTTTAATCAAATTGTGTGTACTTCATGCCGTGTGGATCGTGGGTGTGAAATCGCAGACACTTACACGGCTTGGTACGTTATTTAATTTTGTTGATTATGCTATTATGCTGTGCGTTTCAAGAGAAGTGAACAGTGAGAATATAAAATCAACAAGTCATAAAAACCTTACACTCTCCTGCTTAAAAAACCACAAGTTTCACTTTTACATAATATGCCAATTTTTATCAGCTAGTTCATTCATCAGATTATTATTAGCTTGAAAATTGATTATTATTATTTCAGGCCATCTAAACGTGAACAAAGAATTTGTTACCCTTTCTGGGTTTAGTTCTGGAGGAACATTTGCTCAACAACTGTATGTCTCGCACTCGTCATTGTTCTCCGGGATCGCAGTGTTCTCTCACAGTAAGTGCTTCCTGTTGTCCATGCAAACGGCGAACATTTGACAATGAAACTCATTCAGTTGATAAAGTTAAAAATATTACCCTCAATATGACATTATTTGCATAAATGAGGTATTTCTTACAAATAGCTTACTACCGATGTGGCATTGGAAATGGTATCCTTCGAGACTACGACGCTGTATGCACAACAACGGGAAACTTGAGAAACAATGAATTGTACGACCCCAACAATGCACTTGGGGATATTTATAATTACTTTGCTTCCGGGTTGATTGACGACCCCAGTCACATGGCGAATAAACCTTTGTACGTTTTTGCTGGAACGCAAAACTACTTATTTACTGCGGGTACTGATGCCCAACAATATCCATTACAGTTTTTGTGTCATTTGCTGAAATATATTTTATAATAATTTATATTCCAGACATGAGCTTGAGAATTCTACAAGTATTTGAACCGTTTATTAACAATCCACACTCCATTAAGACTCACGTTGCTGCTGCAAATTTAACTCTGGTACTTATCAATTTGCTGAAGCATATAATTAATGAAAACCCGTGCTTCTTTTTGTAATAATAATTTTTTCCAGCCGAGTAATCGTCCTGACCTTCCAGGGTGTGCAGATCCACCAAATTCTGTTCAGGTCAGCAATTGCGGTAAGTCAGTGAATGTGATAATAAAAACTTGTATTTTAGCTTCTTTAGCTCGTCATGTCAATTATTATAAGGTTGAAAATATCCAAGTTTTTCACACGATTATTATCTAAAACTACTTATTCCACTTCAATTTAATCTAAGATTGAAATAATTTGTTACAAATTGTTTGTATAAGTGAAACTTAACTCCCAGTTTACATAGTGTAATACCTTCCGTAAATCTGCGTTTTGCAGGTTTTTCTGGTCCACTCGAGTCTCTTCAGTTTTTGTTGGGAGGAGAAGCTGTAACTCCCCCTCAAAGTAAACCCATAATATTTTTTTAAGTTGCACCATTTGGACATTTACGCTAAAATAATTCAAATGATTACTCAAATTTATGCGAGATAGGATCCGTGAAGATTCAGCCGTTGCTTCCCTTCGATCAATCTGAATTCTTCTACGGAACTGAGCGTCATGACATGGATCAAGTTGGATTTGTATACGTTCCAAAGGTTTGCCAAAGCAATGAAATTAAATGCCTTTTGCATTTCTACTTCCACGGCTGTAGCACAGGAAGGTATTTATTTATTTAAATTATTTCCAATCAATTTTAAATCTTCAATTTTAATGTAATCATTTACTTACGCTTTAAATAAAGAGAATATGTCGGACCAGACCACATTCTTAAAAGTGGATGGCTTGAAGTAGCGGAAACGAATGGAATTATAATGATTTTCCCACAAGCAGTCTCAAGTCGTGAGAATACAATTGGATGCTGGGATACTTTTGGATTCACAGGACAACTTTATGGTCAATAAACTATACTTATTCATTTTTTAGTATATTAAGTTACTAGCATCTTTAATTAATTGTGGGGCACTTCATTTTTAGCCACGAAAAAGGGAGCTCAGGTCACCGTTTTGAAGAATATATTGGACAGAGTTTTGGGAAAAGAGTTTTCCACAAGCATGGCCACGAGTCGAAGGCCATATCCTGAATTAATACATGGACCACCCAGAAGTACGGGTCCGGCTCCTTCTAGTCATTCCGACTACGCCTTCACGCCAGGTCAGGCATCACACTCGGGTTTTGAGCTAACAGGACCAAGTTCGCCACCTCGCTTTGTCGATCCAGTGACCTTATCAAACCCACCTTCAGGAACTTCAGTGTCCGGCAGGGAAGAAATTGGACCACAATATTTCCCTCCGCAGTTTACACGGGGTTTAATACAGCGAAATTTCAAAACAGATGGGGTAAATCCTGGGCTTGGCACCAAGTGCACCCTTTCGATGGTTCATCCGAACACTATTTACCAACGATGTTTTACAAACTAGCAAAAAACCAGTAATTAACACACAAAAATCAATGTGCTATATAATATTGTATATTTATCCAATAGACACTTGGAAATCTTTGTTTATGGTAATAAATGCTACTAATAAGCGTTGCTACAATTTTTGAACATTTACACCATTTTCCTCCTGCATACGAAATTAATGGGTTTTTACTAATTATGTATATACCCTTTGAGAGAGTAAAAGAGTGCATAATGTATACATCTCTCATTCTTTAGAAATTATGGCTTTATTAATAAAACTGACCTTTTTGTGCTACAGTGAATTTCGTCATTAAACCCCCGGAAGAAAGTGAAATCTTTCAGAGGTTCACAGTCCTCGATCATATTATTATGACTCATTAAACAATAGGAAAATCTAAATAAGAAGGGAGTGGTGATACAGGTGCAATTCCCCAGAGAATTACATGCAAGTGACGTATACTGCCCTTTACTTCTTGCGTTGTAAGGAAAGTGGAAAGCCCAAGCGTAAATGTCAACCAACAAATATCATTCACAGAGCTAAAGTTTATACTCATCATACTAGACGCTTACATCCTCATACACACCCACGACCCAGCATCTTTTTTGTATATAAATTACCGTCGTAAACTTGTCACGGCTTAGTTTTACGTTGGCCATTATACATGAATGTAATCGAGTGAGATTTTATTTTATTCTTGCAAATATAAGCAAAATGGTATCACAAATTGCGTCTTCTTCGTCACTGTCAACGAAATTAACCCTCCTGATTGCCATCCTCGGTGTTATTTGTTGTTTTCTTCCGTGCAACCACATAACAGACGCAAGGAGGACAGGACGGGATGGCAGGGTATGAACCTCACATATAAACAAGTATCATAAATATTTTGTCGTATACTTATTTACAAGTGAGTCAGAATCTTTGGTCAAAATATTTCACACAGGTGATGCGTCCCACCCACAATCATCAAGAACATGAACAACAGAAAGAGGTGCCCATTGTCAAGTCCACGGTTGTTAACGCCATCCCCATTACACCCAACAAATTGGTCAACACGCCTCGACGTCGGAAGGTGGATGTCAAGATGTTCAGAGAATGCGTCTTTTTCCAATACTGTACTAAGGCTCAGTGTTTCCATTATGGACGATTTGGCAACTGCAAGTGATTATGTCTGTTATCTAGGCTCTGTGTGACCACGGCGAAACCAAATTCTTGCAATGATCTCAAATCCTTAGGATAATTTTAGCCGTAATTTAGTATGGGGTTGAAGTGCACCAAACCGTGTGCACGAAAAATTTCCTAGTCCCTAACACCTAAGGCTGGAGCAGAATTTTTTCAAAAATAAAGTAACCTAAACTATTTAAGATAACCTAACCCTAGGAGACAATTTGACGCTAATCAAATTAATTTGGTTTGGTGCACTCCAACTAGTATGAGCATATATATAGTGCTAAAATTGTGCACCCGCGGTAAACAAGATGCTTGTTAGATGTATTACAAATTGTAGTAAGCGATACACTTTAATTTATGTAGAATAAAGGAATTAATTTTGAGAGTTTACTTTGTCTCATTTTTCTCATTGGATGACTTTTGTCAAACACAAACTCCTCTTGAGTCCGAACTCTGTCACATATGTATGCACAGCACATTGTCACGCACAACTCGAAATAATATTATTTATAAGATTTTAATGTTTTCATAAATCGGCATTTACAAATATTTTCAAATTAATTTAATCATTAATAAACTCGTAATTCAACTTACAAAATCTTGAACTTTATTTCACTGCTGGTGACCGCTGTATTTATGGATTCTTCCATCATTTGCATCCGAGATGCGCCGATAAATTGGAATTCGGTAAAATTTCTTATGAGGCTTTTGGTGTTTACACTTTACATACTTATTATGTTGATTGAATAAATTTGTAGGCAGTAGTCCACGGAAAATTCTCTCAATATGGACCTATCAACGAAATTACCCTTCAACCCAATACAAATGGAGACAGAAATCTTGTTATTGTTGAATTCGATTGCGAAGAGTAAGGGTTTTTTACAATAATAGCAGTACTCATGCATTACAAAAGGGTCGTTTAAAAATTATTATGTATGTTAACGTTAACGACACTAATATATATTATTTGTGTAGGGATGCCGCAGCAGCTGTCCGCGACAACAAGGGTTCAGCAGAGTATAAAGTTGCCTTCTATCGTTCTAACGTTGACAATAGTTTCGAGACAACGATGACGGTGGGTTCTACGCCAAATTCTACTGTCAACGCTCCTCATCTCGAAGTCATCAATTGTGCCAACGATAATTGCACAAACCAGCTCGTTGTCGAAGGTACAAGTATGGAAAAGGTCGTGGCGGAGTCGAGGGTTTATTGTTCGCATGAATGTTATTGTGAATTGCAGGATATGCAAGGGTATTCGAATTATACATTTATTTATACATTAAGGCTTACCCTCAAGCTCGGAGGAGTGAATCGGGTTTGGAGCAATATCCCAGTTTCAACCTTCTCTCTCGCTTTGCGTAATGCATTGTAGTGCCTATCTCGAAACTTCGCATCGACCCTGTGGGGGGGAGGAGTCGACCTCAGGGTTCATAATAGTGGAATATGTTGCACTCGTCTTTCTGCGTCTGATGGTATTTTTTTCAAATTTTTTGGACTCGCGCGAAGGGCTGCAAATGGTTTACCATCAAGTAATGTAACCTTATGTAGACTGGTAAACCATTTGCAGCCCTTCGCGCGAGTCCAAAAAATTTGAAAAAAATACCATCAGACGCAGAAAGACGAGTGCAACATATTCCACTATTATGAACCCTGAGGTCGACTCCTCCCCCCCACAGGGTCGATGCGAAGTTTCGAGATAGGCACTACAATGCATTACGCAAAGCGAGAGAGAAGGTTGAAACTGGGATATTGCTCCAAACCCGATTCACTCCTCCGAGCTTGAGGGTAAGCCTTAAGAAGGAGTTGAAATGTTAATCTATTAATTTAGAAAAGTGAAAACTGAGTTGTGCTTTTATTTATTTACATTTTAGAAGAGTGAATATTTACGACAAATGGATTGCTTCGTTGGGAAGGAGTGGAACGGGATTGCTCAAGCACCCAAAAACATTTGACAAGATTGTGATAAATGTGGATCCTGATGGTGTCCGAAGAATTGAACGCCACATGTGAAATACAATTTAGAATGTTGTCCTACATGCATTAAAGTTTTAAGAGAGAAAAATCGAAAATGAGATTTGATTTACATATAAAAGAGCATAAAGTCTCGCTGTCTTGAATCTTATGTGTATTATGTAACAACTCGTTGGCATCTCTATGTAAGCAAGCAAGTAAAGTACACAGTTCATTCATCTGAATACTGGATAAATCATTATGTTCATTTCATATATTATTATTATGCCAAGTTGCATTCAATTCAGCTGTTTGTAAATTTACTAAAGTTGTGATTACAACTTGTAATTAACTGTGACATTATTGATCCTTATCAAATCAGTCAGACACCTGACACCTGCTCTTTTAACTTGTGATTATGTAATATCTGACAATCGCGTCAGTATCATTGTGCAGTATAGACATTCCAGGCAAACGGCACACAAAGTTTTTAAAAATGAGTCCCTCGAAGTCAACATTGGATTTGATAAATTATCATCTCGTTCCTCCAGTTTTTCTTATAGTTTTTACGGTCGCAACTCAATATTTGTCTTATAATGGCAACCCATCCAGAAATTTTGAGCTGTGGTTTGTTTTAGGAAATTCATTTGGTTGGAAATGTATTGCTAGTTTAGTTGCATGGGCTCTGATTTGGCTCTGGTTACCATCAAAAACATTTAATGGTCCAACGACGTCTTTTGGGTACACTCCAGTTTATCAAGTAATTTTAAGCACGCAATTAATAGTAATTGATTTGAATTGGTTTCTTTGAGTTGGTTTCAATTACTAATTTCGTTTATATTTAACAGGCAAATGGTGAACTGTACTACTTCATATCTGTGGCTGCTCTGCTGGTCATATCTTTTGTGCAACCTAGCATATGCGTCAGTATTTATGAAAACTTTGGACCAATCTTAGGAGGACTTAATATTTTGGCCTTGTCCCTTTGTGCCTATCTCTGGATCAAAGCAAAGCTAAAATCTGACGAGAAAGATCCTTACCTGCTTGATAAAGTAAATTAATTCAATTTTTACTTAATTATCATTGTTAGCCAGCAGAGCAGACAAATTGTGGTATGATTAATGATTACATTGCGTATATACATTACCAGAAATATCCTGTCTTGCACGAATTCTATCGAGGGATGGAGTTGCATCCCAGAATTCTTGGGGTCGACGTAAAGCAACTAACAAATTGTCGAATTGGAATGTAAGAATATTTTATTACATTACGTATGCAATATTAAATTCTAATCATCATTTCTCTCTGAAACTGAATTGAAATGTAATCTTAATAATTTTTATCCTTTTTTATTACAGGATTATGTGGCAGTTGTTGATAATTATATTTCTGATTGCTGGGTGGCAACTTCACGGTTTTAATGGTGGACACTTGGTCAACGTTCTTGTAAGTGTCAATACTTATTGCATAGTTATTCATACATAATTAACTACACAGTGATGTTAATCATGGATTGAGTGCTCTCCAAACTAATTGTATTTATCCTATAACAGCTGCAAACAATTTATATTTACAAGTTTTTTCGATGGGAAACTGGATATTTCAATACTTTAGACATTACCTTGGACCGCGCCGGGTAAGTTATGCATAAAGTTTTAAGAGAGCCGAGTTAGATTTTAAATTTCTGAACTTCTTAGCTTAAAGTTGATTCAATTTAACGAATGCTGAATTACTTACAATAAATATTTTTTGTTTGTAGATACTATCTTTGTTGGGGATGTTTGGTCTGGATTCCATCATTTTATACATTTCATTCCTATTTCTTTGTCTATCATCAACCAACTTTAGGCTCTTTGGCCAATATCATGATCTTCCTGTTGGGATTATTATCCATTTATTATAATTATAATGTTGACAGACAAAAAGAATTGTTCAGAACATCGTTGGACAAATCGGTTAAAGTATGGAAAGCAATTATAATCGTGATCACGTTGATCATCAGATTCACAATTTTCCAAATTCTGAAAATAAATATATTTAGTATTACGATTTCATTTTCCCTTAGATTTGGGGTAAGCCTGCCCAATATTTGAAAGTGGTTTACAAAACAGCAGATGGAAAGCAGAGAGAAAGCAAGTTGTTGTTGTCTGGGTGGTGGGGCGTGGCTCGCAAAATTAATTACACATTTGAGCTGTTGGCTGCCTTTCTCTGGAGTGTCCCCGGTGGGTTTGTGTTCGGAATCTGGCCGTTTCTATACTTTGCATTCCTGCTGGCCCTCCTTGTTCACCGAATTTATAGAGGTGGGTTCATACATACGTAATTAATTGCTGGTACGAAGTTATGGATTTTGAAACAATTTTATTTTATTTATGTTGCAGATGAATCAAAATGCCTGGACAAGTATGGGCGAGGATGGAATGATTATTGCTTAAAAGTCAAATACCGGTTAATTCCATATGTATTTTAAGATTTTAGTTATGTAATTAGTTTTTTTCTGCATTCATTTTATTTCAATTAAATATTATTGAATCAAGTAGTTTTCTTTGTCTGAATCTGTCCATAAGCTCGTCCTTGTTTTCTTCCCCGTCTGTCAGGATATCTTCTTTTAGTGTTTGGGATGATGTTCGACCCTGGTGAAACAGGGATTCCAAATACTGATATTAAACCTCGGGAATTGCGAACTAATTTCCATTCGTGAGCTGCAAAGGCCGAATTGAACAATTTCCTATAGATTATTCCAATTATAAAAAAACAGTATAAAAATTCATACCAGTTCCAGCAAATGCATGGATGAGTAGTAAAAGCAGTACAAATATGCAACAAAAAATATTTCCGTTTACTTTCATTTTTCTTGGGCCAACATAAATGTGCTGCTGACCAGTAAAACTATTGAAAATATGGTCTGCTTTCCGCTTTTATAATATGAATTGTGTGCTTAGATTATTTCACCTTGTTAATGGTTACATTGCACGCGAACTATAGGAGTGAAAAATTATACCAAGAAATGCATAACAATAGGTGACGCATAACATTATTCAAGAGATCCATGATTCACAAGAATTTGGTAACAAACATCATCAGGATTATTTTAGGAGGATTGCGTTTATTACTACTGTTTCGATTCTTGCGACAGATTCAATTTACTACACTTAAAACAACTGAAAATAACAATATTTTGTCAAAATGTCTGATACATATATATATGCAATGAAAGCTGAGTTTTACAAGGATGGTTAAATATATACCTCGACTGTTTACAAAGAGTTGCCAAATAAATTGGATATATACTTGAGAGAAGTTGCTGTTCATATTCCAACTTCGAATTTATAGAAGGTAGTATGTAAGGACATAAATATTAATGACTTATGCGTTTTGGTACGATGATTCACTACCATTTAGTGGATTTGGAAAAAGGTTAGGGTTATTTGGGTCTTGTTGTCTCATCATCTGTATTTGTTCGTCCTGTAAAGACAATTAAATTACAATAAATATAATTTATGAATAATTACATAATTTTTAATCATTCTTAATTTTTGGATTTCTTACCGGTGACAAAGGCCTAAATTGATCTGCCGCAAGACGACTAAACATGATTCCAACACCTTCAATCATGGCGAGAAGGACTCCTCCGATCAGAGCACTTCCAGCCATAGCACCCACGCCACTCCTGGCTGCAAGAATTCCTCCAGTTGCAGCTCCGCTGATGATTGCATTCCATGGATCCTCCTTCCCTCGAATCTTGATAAGGGTGCAATCAATAGTGGAAAATAAGCCTCCCCAGACCGCAAATTGTCCTCCAATCACTGGAGCTCGTGCTTTAATTGCTGTTAAACTGCCTGTGAACCGGTGGGACATTCCTGCAGGAGCGTTTCGAAAGCCTTTTATTGCTTGAAAGAGAGATCCGCCAATAGCACCCATTGCAAATGCTCCACCGCAATCGTCAACAATCCGCCATGGACTAGAACAACATAATTTACAAATTAGAATTTATTTTTTGAATCTCCTGATTAACCATAATTATATTTATAAGGTCTTACCAGGGTTCTCGCGCGTACTCTTCCATTGCAGTTCAGTCTTTATTTGAAACAATTCTTTTAGAAAGAAGGTTGTCCTCTTCGGTCAAGGTCACATTAACCAATTATGAATTAAGGATTCTATTAACCAAATCTAACTTTGCACTTTTCTATTCGAACAATTGTGCCCTTGAAAATTGTGTACAGATGAACCCCGTAGCACTATACACACGACACAATCGATGAAAATAAATAAGGACTAAAGATAGTGGAGACTATTTAAAATGAAAATTTGTAATTTGTGTGGCGAAGATGGATGCACATGGGACGACGAGAGGAAAAAGGAAGGGTTGTTGCATCACTCGGTCTTCTGCGGGCTTTTGGAACGGCGGGGCGAGTTGAGAAACTTTGAGACTTTCGTCGCATCGAAAGTCTCAACTTTCTCACCCATCTCATCCGCAGAGTTGTCTTGTCTCACCCTTTCACCTCACCCCAGCTCATGCGTTACTAATCCCCGTATTACATTATGCATGGTTTGATGAAGTATCGAATTGAACTGTACGTCAAACATTTAGACAAATTCAAATTGAATGAATCTCCTCGCTCGCATAATGCGAGTCGCGTCATCATGAATAATTCGAAGCATCCTGTAACAACAAAAGCGGGTAATTTCACGCGTGTGCTACCGCATTTAGCAGTTTTATCATAGGCGGTGGCTGACAGAGGAATATTTTATTCTCCAAAATTTTCATATCCCTGGCCTATTTGGTGCGAATCTCATTATCAGAGTTGGACATACACATATTTGTCCAGTGCAGGACGCAAGTCAGAATAAATGAGTCTGCCAAGTGATGTACAATCATAATGAATGTTCCGCTTTATCCAAACTCATTTCCCGTGGTCACTGCCCATGTGCAATTTTGGGTTATCATAACATTTATTGCACTTTACTCGGCTTTGTAGGCAAACATGATAATGAGCACACACAACTCGTTCCTGTTTTACATATGTATAAAGAACACAAAATTTTCGACGTATGTAAAATACTTATGGCGTAATGTATAATTCAACTCAACCGACTTCTCGTCACCTGTCTAATAATGTATACACCTTGTATGCTTAAAACGTGGATTTATGCTTATGCTGCTTGTGAATGAGATGTGCCAACTCCATTGTTACTCTCGCAGGTTATTTTGGCTTTCCATTCTTACAATAATAGATCTAAGGTGAAGCAGGGGATTGGTGAAAATGAAAAACTCTGCTCTCATTCGTTTCGTACCACAAAAGGAAAAGGGGAACCGATGAGTTCGTGATGGGCAAGCTTTTAATACGACGTGTGTATGTGCATGACATGATTGTGTTGCACGAAATACGTAGCTTACATTGGACGAATGAGCAGCACCACTTTTGCCGAAGTGGTTGTTTTGTTGGTTGGTGGTTGGATAATATTATATAACAATGCGTCCTCCAACCCTTTAGCAGCGAGAGGATGGTGGATGGATGCTATGTGCGAGATAAGACCAAGAAGACTCGCCCAGGTGTGGCCTCAAGGCGATTTGCAGTTGCAGGCAGGTTGGCTTAATGACGACGGTTATTTACATGTGAACCACAGCTCTTTTTACAGGTAGTACACGGAATGTTGTGTGGTGGTTAAAAAACACAACAGACAGACTTTGAGAGATTGCTGCTAAATCGGTCTGTTGCGTTACGCTGCGTTGATTAACTAAGTTTAGAAACAGTTAATTAGAGGAATCTTCATGGCATTCTTGCGTGCGAGATTTCCGGTCCCCTCTCTCGAGACTCTGCATATTTAACTTTTCTTGAAGCGAATCAACCCTTAGACTGAATTAATAGGGTGACAATTGAACAAATAGAAAGGTTTCCTACTAAAAAATTTTCTCGACGAGTTTTATTTATTGCCACATTGATATTTTGAGAGTATTATTGAAACTATCAAATTGAGACGTACAGGATGACGAGCTAAGCGAATAAAAGCCCGAGTTGATATTATGAGCATACACACACATGGAAAGTGAGTGAGTCACTGCTCGGGGTACAGACAAAATTTCCGGCCCTGATGTCACCATCAGGAGGCTACGATAAGCCACAGCCTTTATAGTTCCAGAACTCTTGTATGTTTGCAATATAATAATTGCAGAACAAAAAGGGCTGATTAAATCATCTTTTATACCCTCCATTGTGATTACTTGAGATGATTATGTGCGTGAACATGCAGAGCAACCACTATTTGCGTCTTCGACACAGAGCCAAACAAACTGGACACAATAGTATCGATCTCAATACTACTTGAGCAAGTATTTAAGTGGGATTGGTGGGTGTATTTATTGATTTAATATACGCAAGTTGAGAGGAAAATCGAAAAAAGGAACGCTATAGAAAGAAAGTGAGAAACCAAAGTGGTGAACTCGTAAAAAGACAGCAATGTGAACCTCTAGCTCTCTATTTCTGGAGACTATTAAATGAAACCTGTGCTCTCTGAAACAAAATATAGTTAAAGTGCTTTAAATTAATGATACTGAAAACTAAGAATATAAATACAATGAAGGAGTCAAATATAATCTCAAATAGATTATTTTCTGTAACGTTGCACTGGACATGGATCTTTGTGGTCGTAACATTGCTCACTCCTCATAAAGTGGTACTTAGTCAAAAAGTCCCCTTTGCTCAGCATTATGACGAAGCTCATAAAAGTCGATCTCCGGGAGAAAGCAACTCTTCACAAAACAACTACAGAGGAAATGGCAATGTGCTTTACAATAATAATTCATCTAGTTCAAGTGATCACAACACCCGGTATCAAGATAAAGATCTACGAGATTTTCCTGACCACAACTCCATCAATTGGCTTTCACCAAATCCATTCGCCGTCCCCGGAACCGGTAGTGATGCGGTCAACAACAGACAAAGTACTAACAACAATCCGTTTCAAGGTGCAAACAACAACATAACCCAATATCCAACTAATCCAAACGATCCTAATTATGGACGACAAAACAATAACAACCTTTACAATCAGAACAATCCTGCAACTTGGCCACAACAAGGAACGAACAACCCTTCGGGGAGTCAGAACAATAATAGAAATATTCCATTTCCCTCCAGTAATGACCGACAGAGAAATCCAACCAGTATGAACGACCCCTTTGCATTTGATCCCAATCGATCCCAACTTGATCAGTATGGTCGTGAAAGGGATCGAGGAGGCGTTGGGGATTTTAATGTTAATTCTAACACCGTTCCAGTTGATGGGCTCGGAAATCGGAGAGATGAAGACAGTGGAGGAGTCAGAACAGGAAGTGTTGATCCAAGAATTAATATCAATCGGCAATATAATAGTCCTACCTACACGGATATTAGGGAGCGAACAACGCAAAACCCCAGACCTTTTGGGTTTGGTCCCGACGTGGGACCACGATCGGGTTATCCAAGCAATTATCCTGGTTCATCAATATCTGACGGTAATACCCAGCAGCAGCAAAACAGCTCTGCCTCCTTCTACCCTGGAGGTTATCCTCAAAGTGCTAGTGGCAATTACCCCTCTTCAGGAATTAATCCTTACGACAGAGTCGGAGGTGGTGATGGGGCAGGTGCGTCGTATGGACAATCCTACCCTAAGGTGGGATTAGGGAGTGGAATTGGAACCACGTTTGACCACACGGGAAGAAGAAATATCCCTCCATTCGTTAACTATCCTGGGAGAGGAAATTTTGACCCCGGTTATCCCAATGTTAACAGTTGGAATGAGTACTGGACTACGACTACTTATAGACCAACTGCGCCCGGTGTTTTGGGCCGGTGGAGGACCGATTTGCAAGGGCAACAAAGGCCAGAAGATATTAATCAAGTCCCACAATCTGTATACGTTATGACCACATTTGGAAGAATTCAGGTGAGACTAGTGCAATGCGAGTGGTATCATTTTTGTCGTATGCCTGTTTATGATTTCCCAGAAATCATGATTGACAATTGTTTTATTTGTGTAGGGGTTTAAAACTAAAATTTACGACGGACCTTGGGTACCTTTGCCAGCCCGACCCGGCATAGCCAACGTCGATAAGGTCAAATCAGTTGTTTCCTCATTTGTCGGGATCCCTTATGCCAGAGCGCCCACTCATGAGGGCAGATTTAGGCCACCGGTAAGTAATATATAGTAATAACTTTAACAAGTACTGCACCTTATAAATTATGAATATTTGTAATTTATATTTGTTTGTTTATGTTATGTAATATATGTAATTTATAATTTGTTTATGTGCTTATCACTTTTTCAGAGGAGTCATCCTGGTTGGCAACTACATCAGGCTGTAGAAGTTCCTCCGGCATGTCCACAGCCTGTAATAACACACAATTATAAAAGATAAATTCAAGTATAATTACAATTAATAAAATTATAATTGGTTGTGATGTTTTACGATAGGCGAGATTTTTTGGGCATTCTGCCGGAATTATTCAAGTGCATGAAGATTGTTTATTCTTAAACGTATACTCTCCCGACGTCGGTTCAGGTGTCGAAGGGTATGAAAATTTTGAGTCAATAAAGACGTAATAATAATATGTCAGTTATATGGGTTCTGTATGGTGCAATTTTGTTTAATTCCAGAGCTCCATTTCCGGTTATATTTTACATTCATGACGGAGATTTCATTCACGGAGCGTCTCATCAATTCCCACCACATCAATTGGTGGGGTGGTATAAACTGGTCGTAGTCACGGTTAATTTCCGACTCGGTAGTTTGGGTTTCATGTCAACCGGCGACGAACATAGTCCTGGAAATTATGGAATGTTGGATCTGACCATGGCCCTCAAATGGGTGCATGAAAATATTCATAGTTTCAACGGAGATCCAGAACGCATCACCTTGGTTGGCTTGGGCTCTGGGGCTGCGGCAGCAGGCTTGCTCATGGTAATTATACTTACGAGTAATATTTTATTACGTAGCTTCAAGGATTAATGCAGTTTCCAGCCTTATACATATGATCATCCATGAGCTATGAAACTTTCGCTTCTAAAATCTAATAACCGCACTTTCTTCACAGCTTTCACCACAAACCAAGCAGTTGGTTAAAAATGTAGTGGCACTCGAAGGCGCAATGACAGCCGATTGGGCAGCTATTGTTGGTAATTGCAATTATTCAAAGTTTATAAATTATCCAAAAATCAAAATTCAGTTGAAGAATAAGATCTTTTAAACTAACGTTCCATTTAATATCATTTATTTCTACAGATCAGTACAGAGTCCAAAATACGACACAGCTATATTCCTTTAAGATGGGCTGTTGGCAAGATTTTGGTAAATTTCAACTTTCACAAAATACACATTTCTACGATTTGAAGATAATACTATTACGGTTCTTGCAGAGACAACGTCCTGGAAAATGGTCCAATGTCTTCGCAGTCGAAGTTGGCAAGAATTGGCAAATTTGGAGTTGGACGTAAGAATTGTCATTAATAAGAAATCATTTCCTTGCACGCGTTACTAGTCATATAAGAGAAATGTAATTTATTATATTATTAGCCTGATGTTGGAACTTTTCCCTGGTCTCCTGTGGTCGATCGCACCTTCCGCGTCCCGAAAGATGATTATTTGAACGACTGGAAAGAAGAAGACTGGCGATTTCTGCCCGACACTCCACACAATCTTTTAAAGACTGGAAACTATCCTTTTGTCAAATACATGACCGGCTTCTCTCGACAGTCCGCTGCTGATCTACTCTTCGCAAACAAGACTATTGCCCCAAATTATGTGGTTAGTCGCGAGTGGTTTGATGAGCAAATTAACCTCTGGGTGAAAAAATACAACTACACGCTAAACCCAGAGGGTGTTTTTTCCGCCATTAAATACGCTTATACATACTGGCCAGACCCAAAAAATACGACACATTTAAGAGAAGAATACATTGACGTAAGTTTAAATAATAATATTCATATTGCGTATGTAGAGGTGATATTAATTAACCTCTGCATCTTTCCAACAGTTCCTCTCGGACGCCCTTTATCGAGCTCCTATTGATGAAGCAGTCAAACTGTTGCTAGCTCGTGGGATTCAAGTTCATATGTACATGTTAAATTACACGCTCGAAGGGCTTCGCCTCCCGTTTTGGAGGGAGGTTCCTCGTGGGATGGAGTACTACATGCTTTCAGGAGCACCCTTCATGGACCCTGAGTTTTACCCTGAACGCCTTCGTGTCGACAGATTCGCTTGGACTGAAGGTGATCGAAACATGAGTAATTTTCTCATGACTTCGGTAGCAAACATGGCTTATTATGGACAACCAACGCCGAGGGAGGTGCTTGGCATCTATTGGGAAAGAGCTACCCCAGCAGACTTGAAAGTGAGTGAATTTAGCTTTAATTTATTTCATTTTCATAGTCATCAATCTTGCATAATGAAATAACAATTAATAGTGCCACGAGGGATGGAAGTTTATATTTTTGTGTTTATTCTTAATTCATCATCCGGCAACACAAAAATCCAATAACAATCATAAATATAAAATCTGTAATCACAACCTTGCTAATCTTACTCTTTCACCTTTTCGAACATGATCTCACAACCCCAGAATTTCATAACAAATTCACGAATTATCTTCCATGAATCTGGACCCAACAGACTGAGATTCGTGCACTTGTTTGATGAGAAACACTTCGATGAGTTGGGGCGAATGGGATTCCTCAATCCAAGAAGATAAGCAATAAAGCCAGCAATATGGAGGTGGGCCTCAAATCGTTCCTTGTCCTTATCGTCACATCGTCCAACGAGATAACAGGTCGTTTTAACATGAGAGGGGGGATTGTGGCGCAGATACTCTCCAAGTCCGTCTGTTTTCCACTCTCTCAGTCTGTTGCTCAAGTCCGGATCTTCTCTCCAACCAAAGTAGACCATGTTGTGACTCATGGCGGCGTACAAGTAGGCCTTGCCCTTTATCTTCTTGTTCTCTCCTCCCACTCCGACCAAGTATTCAAAATAAGGGAAGACACGAGCTATCATCTCCTCCTTAGAGAGTGTTCTTCTTATCTTGAGAGCCATTCCCAATTGATTCAGTCCTCCTTCTATCAACAACTCCATACCATGAGCAAATGGGATCGTGTCGTCCAAATTCTCCATCTGTCCAGGGTTTGAAGCGAGTTGTTGAAACATTCCAATAGTCTGGGGTAGAGTATGATGAACATATTATTAAGAATGTTGAGAAATGCTTTGATTTAGGGAATAATAGTTTCACATACAGTGGATAATGCAAAAGTTTGGAGAGATTCATCATGGGAGGAGTAGTGAACACGAGCGATTGACCTCGGAATTGGGGGAACGGTGCATCGTTTGCGATAATCTTTCCACGTTTGTACTCCTTGCAATGAGTTTGTAAGGCGGAGTTCTGCCACATCGTCTTTCTCTTCATTTGTTGCTCCCAATTTGACCGAATGTTGCATGGTCACATGGCGTTGGATGAGAGTAGACCTCGCTGAATAATCCGTCGCTTTCAGCACGGAGTGGATGGTGACCCCGGAGTGGAAGTGACACTTTGGCAGGACGTCATTCGAAACCGTACCAGTATATGAATAACAACCTAGCGGACAGCACCAAATTGATAAAATTTTAATTATTGTTAATTACAATTATCATAGTCAGTAATAAATAGTATACCTGGTTCAGTACAAAGTCTGTATGCTATATATAACATTCCGTCTCGATTGGAGTCCGTTGTCTTCTCCAAGCATAGGTGGACCAGTTTTGAAACAGGGGATTTGTGGATGATGATCCTCCATTCAGGTCGGCCAATTACTGGCACTCGTCCCCCCATCTTAAAAATTGCCTTAAACAATGTCTCCCTCTGATCCGCATCGAGCATGTCGTAAATAGGGGTGGAGGGTCGCGAGTCATCCGATTCAGCAGAAATTGAGTGAGCTGGAGAAGTAGGGGGGAGTTGAACACCGGCATAGTGAAGGATTGTTTGTCTTAGTAGTTCAACTCCATCCTCTAAAACAATAAATGGAGTTAAAATTTGACATAACTATGCACCAAGAAATCATGTAATACTTTGTATGATACCTGTGTTGATACTACCAACTAGTCCTTTTGACCCTTTGTTGTACCGGATTTGGAACTCTTCTTTAAGTGGCTCATCTCGCACAATAATTCCCCTTCCAGCTCGTCTGTCTGTTTCATGTACAGCAACCAACGCCTCCTCCATGGGAGAGAAAGTCCATTCAACGGGACGAAAAGCATTGTCCTTACGGGCCTCACTATTTTTTGACGACTGTTGTCTCTTCGACTTGTCCATTGTTCCGACCGGATTGAGCTGACCTACTGGTGCGAGTAAGTTCTTTGTGGTCTCCACATCCAAATCACGTGCTGGAGCAGGTCGTTTGGCCCTTTCATCACTCTGTCGTTGTCGGTGTGTCCTATGACAAACAAAAAAATGATTCCATTAAATTGGAGATTTGAACAATCAAATAATCGTGGTACAATAATTAACCAACCTAGAATCCTCTTTAGTTTCGTCATCGCCTCCTGAACGGCAATTTTCTTCTTTGGGGTCGGTTTTGATTTTTTAACACCGGAAGGACCAGCTCGCTGCTTTGGCGAAATTGCAGCCACCACTACTTGTTGTGATGACAACTTTTTAAATGGCATTTTCCTCATAGGACGACTAACTGCCTCTTCTGAGTCACTACTACTACTACTACGACTCGTCGCCATGTTTCAAAAGGAGCAAAAAGCGAGATACCAAAGATTAACAAATTAAAATTCTGTCAGGAAAATGCTTAATTTTAGTCCGAAAGAAATATATGATTTGGATGGCGGGTAGAGAAAAAGGGGATTACTGAGACGTATCTGAATTATGGTCTTTTCATTCTGTTTCAGTACTTGGCCTTGAATGGGACCAACAATTCAACAATACAGAGAAATTATCGACAAAGGGAATTGACATTCTGGAGCGAGTACATGCCCTCGGTTGTGGGACATTTAGTGGCCACATACCCTCCAACAACAGAATATTGGTAAGTGTGTAATTAATATTCCGCTAGGTTTCTAAGTATCTGCCTATAACGATATGTTCCTATTTTCATACAAAATCGTTCTTTTTTGCAGGTGGTAAGAAGAGAATTATCACACAAAAGGCTGACGTATCTTAATAAGTTTATGCATATATCAGTCACCTTATGCATATTTTTTAAAACCATTCAACGGTAATCAAAATTTGATTAAAAATTACAGGGAACCCAACGAACCTTTACAGATCGCATTTTGGTCAGTCAGCGGCATATGTCTCATTTTAATTGTTGCCCTTGTTGCGTGCTGCTTGTTATGGCGCACTGCAAAGAAACAAAGGGATCGAATATATGATGACTTGGGATTGGGCAGTGAGCCGCTTCGGATGGGGTCAATGGGTAAGCCATTAATTATGAATATCTGACATTGGCTTAATCATCACTACAGTAGCATTACAAAAATCCTAATCATGGTATCCGACGATTAACAGGAGGTGATGAAATGAGTGAATATGCTGAAACAGTGAAAACAATCGATTCGATGGATTCTGGAAGACTGAAATACAGCCATCGCCCAGACCCTCCCCAGCAACACCAACAACAAAGGTTTCCGCCGGCATCCTACTCCACACAATCCACGGTACACAATGGTTCTCACTTACGGGACACGAAGGACAGATTTCATGTTCCGATCAAGAAGGCAGGAGTCGAACGAGGAGGAAGAGAAACGCCACAAACGACAGTGTAATTGCATGGCTTCAAACCAGATTTAGTAATGTCAAATGTTAGTAGCGACGCCTAATTTTGCTGTCTGTAAATAGGAGCCAAATGGATTTGATAGCGAGGGAAAAGTAATAGGTTTTAGAACATCTTATTGTGATATTTTCGTATTTTTTTTAGTATATTTATCATCAATTTGTACTGGTTACACACATGTACTGCATATTAGAAATAGGTGGGGAACATAGGATAACCGTCTTAAGTTAAATGCTAATACTTTTATGCTCTGCCTATACCCAAAGATCTCACATTAAAATGCCAATATTTCCAACATTTTTTATTCTGTGTCAAAGTATACGGAACTGCAAATTTGGAGTTGGTAAAATATTAGTGAACAAGATACTTTTTGCCACGCACGTGCATACGTGCACTACAATATTGCACACAAATAAATAGAACAATATTAGGGAAAGCCACCCTTATAACTTAATTTTATCAATCAATCTTATTGTGCCCGACCCACACTAATTTTATAAGTATACAAGTAAACAAATATTACTATAAAACGGTGACCATTTTTACACATGTGTTCAAATCTTGTAGATATACAGGAAGTGTTGAGTTTAATTTACGATTGTTTGTATCACAGACAAGAAGTGAAATGTTAGTTAATATGAACTGTCTCTCTAAAAAATATACAATTTACCCTGAACTGAAGGAGCTTCGACTATACAAGAATTAAACTTTACATACTTAAAATGAAACGTGAAAATTTGTAAACGCATATAGCATACGTTCCAAAGCATATAAAGTGCATACCAAAAGATACACTAATTATTATTACAATAATAATATAATACTGATGAGAGAGAATTAAAAATCATCTCTTTCTCAGTCCGAGGAAGACAAATTGGAAGAATTTTGCTGCTCTCTTCCATCCCTACGATTCTGATACTGACCACCACCACCTCTTCGGTCATGATAGGGTTGCCGGTCACTACTCCCACTTCCACCTTGACCCTGCTGATAAGGACTGTCGGATCTCTGCCATTTGGACGACCTGTCGCCTCCGCCACCATTTCCCTGGTCGTAATGACGCTTCCGATTATTGTCGAAATGACCACCTCCACCTCCTCGTCCACGTCCCCTTCCGCCATGAAATTGGCGTGGTCCAACCCAAGGATGAACGATTGCTGGAGGCACTAAGGTTGACCCCATTTCTTTGGCAAAGTCAGGATCGCCTTCAGTGTAGCGACATGCAATGCTGGGTATTTGTTCCAACTCGTGCAACAGAGCAATTTCATTGTCTTCCTCGGTAAATTCTGCTTCATCTTCTTCTGTAGTAGAGGAAGAAGAAGACAGGCTTCGACTTGCCGTTGCTTCAAAAAAGACGTTATATATATCATCGTGTAGAAATTATATATAGACGACAAGATCAATCAATATATGGATAGAATAATAATTACCTGCTTGTTGATTAAATTTCGAACTCATGGTGGTTCAGGGAGTTGATTTTCTTGGAGAAAATAGCGAGTGTTGGATGAAATGTAATTGCACCGCCACCTCTTCCGAGGCGACGAGAGATATTTTCATTCATGAAATTGAGGGTTAGACAGAATATCGCCGGTGGGTCTGGGTGTGCCAAATTGTTGATTTTTTCGTTATATGGACCATAATTTATGACAAAAATATTTCAGCTTTCCGGGTTGAGTGTTTTACTTGAGATATTATGTCAAGTAAAGGTATCTAGTTCATTACATTTTTTTGATTTTTCATACTATCTTTGCTCGTTTCTAATGGTGTGGAGAAAGTGAAAGTGCGAAAAAGCACTACTGATACTCGATGGAGTAAATGCGAAAGAAGTTCTCTAATGCGAAGGTCTACTAGTTTTATTATTTTAGTGTCACCTTAACATTAAAGTTTTTGAATTGAGTCAGATCAGATCTAATGAGGCTGGCCCTTGTCTAGCTTTCTGGGGTTGATGTCATATAGGATCACTTGTGGCGAAGGGATGAATTGCTCTATTTGGAAATATTTGGAATGTACATTGTTTTGCCGCATTATTGAGAATGAGGAATAATTATTCTACAAAGTTTAAAATCTTACTCGTCATGCTGCTGTGGGGCGGAATGTAGTAAAAATGCGAAACTTCTGCGCCTGGCTGATCATTGTAATTTGGTTCGGGCCCATTCGAATTTGGAATTCCTTGGTCAAGCTCAACCAGTTGAAAATTAGAATTTTCTTTTTCCTGTGAGATTTTGGGGAAAGTAGTGTCGCTATAATACAACGAAGGATATTTTGGTGCCAACAAAAGAATCGCGACAACGATTCCAAAAGCCGTCAAGTATGCAGCAATTACTCCAACTGTATGTTAAAGGAAAGAACAACTTTAACAGATTCGCCACACAAATTTCCCAGTCTTAGGAATGTAAACGTAATGTGACCAACCCCAAATCCAAGCTGTTTTGCTGCAGCGTTTACGACTGGATGTTCTTGTACTCTCATCGTCAATACTTGACTCGTTTCGGATAAAGGAAGGGGTTTGATTTTGCAATCTATGGTCTTGATCTCCATAAAAATATGACCTCTTGGTGAAATCGTCTTGACTTGTTGGACTCCCTGTATTTTCCTTGGGTTTAGGTTCACGGTTGAAATACATGTTGTTTTATGAGAATGCTACTACGAACTGCAAACTACAAAACTAAATTGAAATTTCATTTCAGTGTTATGTATGTAACTTACACACACGTTTCCAGTTGAGGAACAGGAACTTCATGCATGATAAATTTTACATAACAATAACATTAATATTCATAATTCACAAGGGAAAGTTTCATTCATCATGGACATGTTTAATTGTACTGATTAGACGGAAATTGTAGCGTTGGATCATTTAAATCAGCTCTTGTAATGTGCCGTACAAAGCCCATCATAATTTTTCGTGAAAGCTGAAATTCTGAATTTCTAGTAGCGCATAAATTATTCATAACTTCAAATTTAAAAGAAACTTCGGTAAGCTCATGATTTTGTGTGTACACTGTGCATGAAAATGTCTTGGCTTCGAACAAAATCAGTTTGTGAAAAGTTCAGTAAATATGTATTAATTATTATGCTTTGGTCACATTTTTAACTTATACATTTACCGGTCTTACCTAAAATTGAATACTTCATCAAGAATTTGTTATACGTAATATGTTATGTGTCATACATGGTTATTTATGTGGTGTTTTGTGTCAATAAAATACCGAACGATCCTGTTCACACTTGCACGATGAGCCAAAGTCGAATTTCTGATAAGCTAATCATATCAAACAATAGCCGAGTCATCAATCTTCTTTGTGTGTTTAATTAGTACAACGTACAATATACCTTGCATGCATATAATACTAAGGGATTTTTTTACAACAGGCAAATGAACTTTGTGAAATTACGTGGCCATAACGAAAAAAGCAACTACACGTTGTAACCCATACGTTATGGAGTTTTTCATCATTTCCATACGTCCCCTATTGGAAAATTCAAATAACAAAGTATTTAGCAACTTATTTCCGGTTTATGGCTGCAGACGTATTACTAATTGAAATTAATTAATTAGGCAATCCTTAAATGCCGATGAACATGGTTGATAATAATTAGTTGGACTGGTTCAATGTGAAGATTAAAGGTCTTGCTGTTTCTACAAAAAAGTGAAGGAGATTAATGCATGATGAAATATTAAGCAAGATTTCGGATGATGCCAGATTGTCTGGTGTACGTAATGTAATGCAAATCGTAATTTAAAGAGTAAGTTGAATCATGGCACATAAACATGTCATTTCACGACGAGCAACGAGATTATATTTACATACAAAGCTCAAATACACGACCAAACAAGGATGGTTTTAGCTCTTTCCAGTAGAGTAGCAAATGTCTGATTAATATAGAAATCATGTATGAATTGGAATCAGAAACGAGATGATATCACTTTTGCAAAACGACATTCAGATTCGCAGCTTGCTGAGCTTTTACATTATTATCTATTAACATGTGGGTATTAACTAATTTTGTTACCATTGGTGGATATTTCGTACGTATTGTATGCATTTAAAGTTCAAGCTCCTCTCACAAAAGATAACCCAACTACATTTACATTACACAATTAAGTAAGCGAACAGAAAAAAGTTCAGGAATTGATTTTCCATGATTCTTTACTTTAATGAGGCGATGCAATGTACATACATATTTATGCACCATGTCTAAAAGTGTATATTTGTATGAAAGTCAATTCCCTTTCAACAAATTGCCATTCCCCAAAAAACCTTAGTCAGCAGTTCCATCAGTGGCTGATAAAGTGCATGATTTTATTAAATGATATAAATTCTGCACGCGATTGCTAAAAAATAATGTTGATGACGATAATGGTATTGAAATATTGTTTACCAGGATGGGTTGGTTGTGGTGTTACTTATTTATTGTGCAATTACCAAATTATTATTTACGGGAATATTGACCCCATGACTTTCATACAAGGATGTGCTTTCAATATTAAACAGATTGTTCATTTGTTTCTATTTATACAAAAATTATGTTAAATGCTACTCCCAATTTAATTCGTTATTATTTACTAAATATTAGTTCTTCCCTCACTTCCGTCATTTTCCACAAGTGGCAGGGTTGGAAATATTCAAATTCAATTTTATAAAACTCTTCGTCTTCGACATCGGATCAATTAAACCACCCACACTTTGGTTTAATTGCTACATACACCTTTCAATAATGCCATTAACAATTAATTTTATAAGCGATAACAACTTTATTGCTATTTATGGTCGAACGTCACCAGCTTGCATAATGAGAGGGCATTGTGTATTTGTCGTTCGATGGCATTTTTTGGATTGTCATAGACCACGTTTTATTTGTGGTTTTCAAATATTGCGAAACTGCGTAACTGTTGTAAAAATATGTTTTACAACATTATTGCATATTTTTCATCATCATACTTTATTTTATTGAATGCAACAGTAGTTCTGTGAATTATCCGTTTATTAAAGTTATATTCACAACGATTATGTTATGTACTTTTGCTTAACTTTGATGCCCATTTTCTATTGACTCAGATGTTTACTTTTGTGTGGAATGTTCTGCAAGTTCAAACAACTCGAGAGGACAGAAGTACGAGATCAAGGACAGGTTAATCAAAGTGATAAGACTCTTTAAAGTTTATTTGGATGCGAGGGTGCATTTATGAATTATGAAATCGTCCATTGACTTCTGTAAACCTGCCGATTACCAGTTTTTCTTGTAAGTTCAGCTAAGCAAATAATATACCCTTGATTCGATACTACCCAAGGGTTTCTCGTATTCATACATATATTCAAAGTTAATAATATTATTCTCCATATATTGGATAATCAGATTTATTTAAAACAATAAGTTCAAGATTGAGCGCACCTCATGATTAACAAACCAAGGATAACATCCAAGTCACAATGATAGTGAAACATTCCCTAATTTGTGATCATTGGGATTTCCTGAGCCGGCCATTTGAATCGTTTAAAAAATAGACGTGTGTAAATGTGAGTAATTCTCCATACCTGTTATAACGGCTTATAAACAAGCTTATTATTGCAACGCGTGCAGTCACCTCATGAAAGTGAAAAGTGCGTCATGCAACTTGTAAATACAGAATTCAGTGGTATTGTCATCGGCCACATTCAATTGAAGAGGTGAAGGTGAACTTTAAAGGGCATGGACAAAATACACAACTGCATGATTGTAATAGCACACAACAGATATTAACTCGTATCGCAGCATGTTTGTATGTGCACATAAGTAGTAAGTAGTCAGGATCAGGATGTCAATGCAACGTGGTATTTACAGAATACAATAATTGTGTGGAATCCATCATTTATTTCATCCATGATTATGCGTATGATATCAAATAAGACAAAGACTCGCATCTTTTCATTATCAAGAGTTTTATTTATTTCGGTTATATGTATTTATATCCTTTGTCGTACTCATACGTAATAATACAGACCACAAACAAATAAACATGTACACATACACCACACATTGATATCGGTAATATATATATATATGTATATATGTATGTATAATATATGTGTATGTATATTAACGGTAGGTTCATCTTATGCTATGGTTTCTTGTCCCGTAATTATTCGGTAGGGTTTGTCGGTGAGTCTTAAGTTAGGGAATTGTAATCCGTAATAATTATTGTACGAGTTTTATAAAGAAGTGAAATAAATTGCATGTAGTACAACAACTATTTATTTAATACATACACCTCGGTGAACCGGTCAGTTTGATTTTATTTCTTAACTTTCTTCATGATCATTCCACACTTTTTTTAAATTCGCTTCTTATCAATACAACGCCATCATCGCTCAATGTTAAAATAATATAATTATTTGTACCTTTCATTTCAATACCACATCTCCAATAGGATCAACAATCAATATTAAAAAATAGACTAAACTTTACGTTACGTACATTTACAGTGATGGAAATTTAAAACTTTGCGATGTCCGAATATATAGAACCGAAATGTTTTGGTATAGTTTACAATGTTGTTGGTCTAATACAGTTTTCTTACTTCGCTCTCATAAATCTAGGCCGCAGTTTTTGCCATATTTCAAGCTTTTCGATTAAAACGATAAAATAAATGATATCAAATAAAACGTGTTTGCCCAACTAATTACAAAAATTCTATTCTAATGATTATTTTCATTCAGGATATTACACAGCGGAAAGACATAGTATGATTAAATCGTCAAAGGTATTTGTATGTATTTGTAATTGCAACCGTTGCATTTCTTTGTTCTTCTAGCTGGATTTTTACCATGCATACATGCACTCTAAATATTATTACCATTAGCACTCTCCTACATATATACATACAGAATATTTCACCATCATCGCCATCATCAGTAATATTAATGCCTATAATGTTTTGCATTGCTTATCTTAACTTATACCCAACTTGCTCTCTTCTTTGTCGTCGTCATCTAGAGTCCAGTAACGAGTGATCAATTTCTTTTGTGATGCCACTACTCCAACAGTTCAAAAGAGCAGGTGATCATTTTCCCGTTTTCCAGATCCAATTCATCACTTTACCCATTATTTTATCGTTCATTTCATTGTCCTAGTATACTTTATTACACTTGAACTAACAGAATATGTTCAGAGTATCTTCATCGTTTGTAGTTTATGTAATGTATGCAATTCCTCTTTCCTACCGTTCAAACCATTTCCCTAATTTATCACATTCCAAACAAACATACATTCCTCGCAGATTTGTAGTTTATCTATTATTCTAATCTTAAAATAAATGGCCAATTGCAAGACAGTTGGCATCATCTTATGTAAATAACTTATCAATCACTAGCTTATCCATTCTGTATTTGTAATAATGTGTAATAACTCAATCCACTCGGTTCACCGACACGACTAAAATATATAAGCCTTCACTGCTATTTAGCATGATCCTCCTTAACGTAATTCATATGTACGTGCAAATAATAATAAGAATAAAATATGATGTCCAATAATAATTATGTACATATGCAAGAGGATGAACCGGTGCGTATGCTTCGTCATAAAAAAATATCAAAACATTAAAATGCGAATTTCTAATGTAACGCTTGTAACTGTATATAAAAGGGAGTTCTAATAAAAAATCAACTTTTCAAAGGTTCATATTTACCTTGTACACAGATGAGAGAAATTCAAGATTTTTTCCAGGAAAGGAATCATTATTAAAATTTATCATCAATATAAACGTCAAGATTCTCTGAAATATAAGTTTCTATCTCCATAATAAAATATCCTATCACAAACTTTAAATATGGGAAAGTCTGAAATCGAAATGAAACCGACTTTACAGATCTTTGAAGGGACCGCACGGACGAAAATCGGATATCAGCATAAAAATTCCGAGTGGGTTTATTTGTCTTCTTAAACTACACCATTAAAATATGTCTATCCACAGTATTACGATTACGCGTATTTATGTATATTATGTGTGTACCCTAAAGTGACTCAACTATTAGTTCCGAACCAAACCCAAGTTTATGCATACTTTTACTTAATTACGCCACCTTAAAGTAAGGTAGCTCAGATTTTTAAATATATTTATGTATGTACTTACTTGACTTGCTTATTACCTTTGTCGACTTTAAGTATTCTACTTTTAATCCTGGCATCATTAATTTTGTATAGTAATTTTGTACTTTGGATAGTTGTGGTTTACTCATTTAACTTTTTTTAGTCACAGTAACACAAGCAATTCAAAACCAAATTAATCAATCTATTGATCTATTCGATCCGGATTCCATCTCTCTCTTTCTATCTCGGTCGTCTGCAAGTATGCATGTCCAGCTTATTGTAGAAACAATATACTGCACTGGTTGGGTTATGGGTGGTCAATCAATAAGTGGTAAAGGTATCTATGTAGATCTCTAATATCTGATCATCTAATTTACTGCTTCTTCACTAGCACGATTAACAGGTAGAAAGTTTCTTTTGGTAAATTCTATGCTAAAGGTTTCAAAATGAAATTTTGTTTAATACTTCCGCATGACCAACGTGAACATATTTCATATACTGAAGTGCAACACAACAAGATGGTACTCACCAAAGGGACTGTATGAACAAAGCAGCTTATGGAATAAACAACGTAACAAACCCAGGTCCTTCCTACAAGATACACATACTTCGTCGTGTCCAGTAATCATCTCAGTAATTCCAACATGATCTCTTGATGCAAATCTCAAGTACGAGCCATCTCCTCAGATACCGTTTCCAGCTCAAACTATTGGAATATTTAATATCAAACCATACAACAATCAACCTAATCATCAACGTTAAACAGTCAACCCTATCATTTATGTAATACTAATTCCTAAATCCGTATAATAAAAAATGCGTTCATTTATTTCTGCAACTTGTGGGAAAGTTCTTCTACTGGCCAGAACTACTTCTCATACATCTGGCAGAGAGACATTTATTTCGACTTGTGTACTTGGCATAAGGTTAAATACGTGTACCTCTCCTCAATTGAGATTTACTTTATTAACTAAACAAGGGTGTGGCTGATATCACTTCTTCTAAAACTGGCACGCGGTACATTATTTGAGATGCACAATTCGGAAATTCAGTAAAATCATCCAAGGGAAAAAAGGATAATAAAGAATCAAGCAGACTTTCCGGAGAAGAGAATCAACATTATTGCACCAGGCCAGCCGAGCACTTTATGAAAGTTGCTGATAATATGTAGTGAGTTTAAAAACAAATAAAATAAAAATTGTTATCATTTAAAATTTGCAATACACAATGAGGCACGATTGCACAATGTCAAAAAAACTTAGGCTAATAATAAATTCAATTAGTTGCTCCAATTAAAAAATATGTATATAAATTGCAAACGAGACACACTTATAGTCATAATAACTTTTGCAACTTTGACCAATTTCGAAACGCCACCAGGATGTTTTTATATTTGCGTTGGCCTCGTGTCTGGTGCAACAAATGTGTGGTTATTGTGTGAATATGGCATAAATGAATAATGACCAAAGTTCAACAGAATTTGAAGAGCAAGCAGAAAATATGTATGAATAGCATTGATGGGCCTTTCCTCTAATTTAGTGGACATTATTATGCATGTGCTAATATGTGCGTTTTCTTTAACAAGCAACTTGTTCCTAACTGGACTAATAATAATAATAATAATAATTGCAATGAGTACGCAGTTGCAATCTACAGATTTAGCTATGTTTTGACTTACAATTACTGGTAGCGAATTACATTTGAAATATACACCACATATATAAAATTTAGAGCATCATAGTTCCTTGTATTCCGATTATTATGTAGTAATTGCTAATTTATAGATTAGAGCCATGCATTTATTGGATTCATGGAATAAATTGCATATGTGATTGAACTTTTGAGTCTTGGCCATTTGCGCTGGAACCAAGATTGGAATTTCTTTCTTTTCTCACCAGCAGTCGCAACTCATGTTCCGCTATTATTTCGACAATGTCTTGAGATATTTTTGGAATTGGATTGCATCTTTTGAGTGAAACATGACTGACTGTGTGGAGAAAGAAGTTGGTGCGAGAGCAGCTATCAAACTCTGCTTTGATTTACTTTTCATATTGTTTAAGACTGGAGAATATCATTGTCTTACATAAGTTGTACACGAACGAACGTGCTTATGGTGAGGCCACAATTCATCGATAATCCAGTTGCAATGTGAATCATTTATTTGTAAAAAAACGAGTACAAAATGACTAAACCAGAATTTTGAAAAAACCTCGTGATGGAAAATACATGCAAAATGCAACACTAAATAATATAAGCTGTCTACTTCCTGCATAGATGCTCTTTCTTTTGCTGATTTTTTTCTCCTCAGGAAATGTAAAGTCCAAGAAGAAAGTGATTGTTCGGCAGCATTTTTAAGGAGGAGTTATCATCATCAGTCGGCAGTTTTGGCTTGTATTGACTTTTAAGCATGAAATTAGAGAAGGAAGTCACTCACTGACTGCATTGATACATTTATGTAAGACTCAAGAGAGGTCTTTGTTTCGAATTGTTTGGTAATTTGAGTTCACCGAAAAGTTGCCACATGGATAATGACTGACTATTTTGGTGGTTTTGGTTTGGTATGCTTGATTTCGTTCTTTAAAAAATGAAGCCTCTGATCCTTTCCATCTCTGCCTTATCGTTAGAAAATACTATCCGATGGTATATCATTTTAGGGATTTTTGTGCGACTCCTTTTTTGGAACTTTTGCATGCCTTCTTGGAACTGCATACATATGAGTTGGCCTACCGACTTGCGTATTATATGTATGCGTGTAGGCAGATCCTGTCACCATAATTTTGGCAAATGAGACAACTTATTAAATTATGCGTGTAGCCGTATCTTCGTAAGTATTCTTAAAATAATCTAACACGATATCTGCTAACGTAAAATAATCTAGATAATCTGATGATTAACATGTACATATATAAGCTCCAACTTAACAAATAATAGTAAAACTACCACGTAAGATACTCGGTCCACACGGATGTTGGTTGATTCGAATCAATCATTCTCAGAGAAGTTTGAATGACGATTTGAAGCAGAAACTGGGCTACTTTACTAGTCGCCAAACCGGGTGCAGGCTTTTTTCCATCGGCACTGAGTGCACCAATTTTCACGACGTTCCATCCCGTAAACCTATAAATAATGTACAATCAAGGATTTAATATATGTACATAAATGTGTTAATTCCTTGTCTGTATCATGCAGCATTTATTCCTCTTTTATCATGCACTGCTCATTGAATATTAACTAAATTTATTTTGTGGTCACTAACTTTTCTGCATTTCTTTGTATCGCCTCTCGGTCTGCGAACTGGGCTGGATTTTGGGGAGGCTCGCTTCTTGGGATTTAGATGAGTATTTCCACTGGGAGATTTGCGTTGATGATGTTGCAACTGAAGCTGCTGCTGATTCAATTTGTACTCTGGGTCTGCAAACAAGCATACAAGAGCAACGTTACATACATGTAGGCCAAAATATTTATCCGGATTGGTTATATGACCAGTAAAAGTGTCATAAATTATGAGAGAATATTGCTCTAGACAAAACTAACTAACGAGCAGTATCCTGTATATCCACATGCTTACTGCAGTTCAAACTCGGCTTACTACTACTACGTGATTTAATGGCATATGAAATGAAAGGCCTTGACTGACGTCAGAGAATGCGGTAGTTAACATGCACAAATGGAGGAAAGTATGACAAAAATCTTTTTTAAGGCATCAAATTATGGGTTGGATTGCTATATAATGAGAACTTGTTTTTTGTCGCAGCTTAATTTTAGCTAGTTGCATTTGTTGTGTAATAAATTTACATGTGAGTTTAACCTGCACATACAAATGTGGTTATTTATCCACGTAGTAAGGAACATAATCTACACACCTTCAGATGGTGGACGGTAAATTCTTGTAATGATTAGTATGCAATGTAAATATATTAACTCGAACGAACAAGGAAGACACCGATATTGGTGATGAGCAAGATGATGCCGTTCTTGTAATTGTTAAAGTCTGATTTTATAAATTTGTTATATAACTAGTCTCATTTCTAGTTTTCAATAAATCCTACAAAAAGGTATTCAGTAGAAAACTTGATTAGCGGCCTGACCTTGTGACCATGGACGAGCCATGTCCATGTGAGACATTGTTGGTGAGAAAGCCATTCCAAGTCCGTTGGAGGAGGATCCACCAAAAGACGCCGGTGACGAGGGGAGATCAAGCGACACTTCTATTTCCGTGTAATAAAACTCTTCCTCCCGATCGTCGGCACTACTTTGATTTCTGTGAAAAGAACATTCATGATTTATGTAGTTTAATTTCACGGACATAGTTTCACTGATCTGTGTCAGTGATTCTGTTATCTGGTAAATGCTGCATATGTATCTAGCAAGCAATCTTAACACAACAAAATATTCGTTAAATTGCTTACCCTCCTAAATGAGCAGCTCTCACGTGTCCTTCAATGTCCAAGCAGCGTTCCTTGATCATGGTGCAGCCAGGGAAAGTACACTTGAAGATTTTCTTCCGCTTGCGTCTCGGTTCTTCCCAGTCCCCGATGTCGCTCTCGACCCCCTCGTCCGAGGAGGACGGGGTGGGACTGTTGGAGTTGAAGTGGAGTTCGCCCGGGGATGACACGGCGCCCAAACTTCCCACCACGCTCTGGTTTGAAGCGCTGCCGAACCATGAAGAAGCACCCGATGAGCTTGATGAGCTCCAGGAAGATGAGATCATTCCAACTGAAAACAAAAAATTCCGAGATTATAATTTCAGATCGTAATGCGCAATTTCATTTTCTAATTGAAAGAACGACCCATTTCCAATGATGCATTAAAGAATTTGTGAGCTTTCAGCTTTATAATTACAGTCTTGATTTGCACCATCTGCATCACAATCATCCATTATTGTTCTGTTCTGTTATATGTATTGACTATTGGCGAATCAATGAATAAACTAATAAGATGAGCCGAAATTTCAGTATAATAAATCTGCTTGTGTAGCTTTTATTTTGTCCTTTGCTGGAAAACGCAACTCTGCACTTGTTCATAAATAACCCTTTTTATGATCAGAGTGCGGTATCCCATTCGTTTAAAAAATAATCAGGAACATGATTGCAAATTCTTCAATGCACACATAAACTTATTGCTGACCTCGTTCACGCGATTTATTTAGCAAACTAATCATCCAACTGTTCAAATGCAGTATGCAACCATGTGTGTGCTTACATATGTATTAGATTATCAAAATATACCATTCATACATGGCCTGTGAGAGGTGAACGACTGGATGCTTGAAATCTGGAGATGAATTATTACAGTAATTTATTTATTGCTTGTGCTAATAATAATAATAATAATAATAATAATAATAATAAATATGCATAACACAATTCGGTGCTGTTCAGCAGATTTCAATTTGGCCAGATCGTTATTGATACAAAGCACATTTGATCCAAATCGTAGCAACGTCGCAGTGAAACTACTGGTTCAATTTGTAAGCAAATTTGCATTCCATCATGTACATATTGTACATTCAATGGAACATGCGGCTAATTTTTCAGACCTTGCTTTACATCAATTAAAAGGCAACAACTGTCTCTTGACCTTTTATCAGCACCACACTCCAACACAACCCCGCAGTACAACGCACTATGTTGCCCTTTAATCTTGGCTAATTGAATATTAAATGTATGTATCTTTGTACTTGGGTTTGCTGATGAGTTAACTAAATTAAATGGAATCAGCTCAGATTTAGCATTCGAGGAAGAGCAGAGACAAGACCGGTCTATAATATGATGCAAGCAAGGCATCCATGTACATGGTAAGTACATAAGCTGTACATAATTTTGGATTCATCCTCCCTTTGCAGAGAGGTAGATAGATACATGAAACAAAAGTGAGTGGTTGTTGTATAATAATATGGCTGAACTACTGCTGATGCTGAATTGACTTCATTAAGTTCAACAGTTGTTCTTGCTAAATTTGTTGCTTTATTCGTATTCTATATTATTATACTTTTTACTTTACTACTTTGCTCGTGATCGGGGAGTAGTTCTCCATTATCATCATCATCATCCTCGCGAAATAGGCATGAATATGGAGAAGCTAGCTAGAATAGAACAGGGATCAGGATTTGAGTTTTTTGAGTTGTGCTCTGTGATTACATTCAACGAGTACAAGGACAAGCCCGTTTTTTCGTACTGCTATTTGATGCATGTTTTACTTATGCTTAATGATTGTTCTATCGTCAAGTCCAAAACTCATACAGTAGGCGGAAGCTATTCTACACATCATCATTACCACATTACACTTAACTAGCCCAAAGATTCAACTCGATACTTATTATGACACACACAAACACATCGATCTCACTCTTTCTACTGCCCAGGATTTGGCTTTTGGGTGTTGCTTGCTTATAGAGTTGTTGGGTGTGTGCAATCTGTATTTCGGCATCAGAGGTGAGGTAACGCTGTGGAAAATACAGCCCTTGGAGTTTGCAGAGAGACAAGGTTGCATGATTATGAGTTTATATAATCCCAAACTAATAGTGTGCCGGTTCTTGTCAGTCATTAAACATTAAACTACCCATCATGAATATTTCTCATGTATGCGTTGTTTTAATTTTCTAAATTGTACTACATTTCTAAGTATATTCGGAATAAAAGCATTTGCAATCTATTTTGCTCTTGCATCAATTGAAAAACTGTATAGATCGCATTTTCTCTAGAATTTCATTGCACGTAGTACATCTGAAATTTTCAGGTAATATAAACAAAGTATACACTAAAATCCTTCACGAATGGCGAAGCAAATTATTCCAGGTTAGATTGAGTCACAGTTTTCCTGGAATTTCGCATTTTTTATGGAGAATGACGATCTTGAGAATATGCTGTTGGCAAAAACACATGTACAGGCTAACCCATATTCTCAGAGTTGTTCTGCGTGTTGACAACAATCTTCTAGAGTGGAATAATTTATGAGCATCTGAAGAACACCTTTTAATTTGCCACATCATTAAGTCATGCGCATTTATGTACACATCAGCAGTACACACGTTTCAACTGTGCTTTTGAAATAATGTGAGAATCTTAAACACCAGAGTATTATTATTCGCCCAGTTATGATTTATTTAAAATGTCACCTTCTCTTGTCTCTTTATGGAACTTCTTTCAAAATAGGCTTAAACTAGATAAAAGTGGCCACCAGGTATAAACTATCCGTATAAATAGGCTAAGTACAATTGTCAATTGAAACTTGCCAGAAGTGTATGTGTGCACATTACAAGGGTATTTTTAAACAAATATGAGAAGTCAATGCACACTTTAACCCTCCAACCTTCTCTCAAGGCACGAACTAATCCTGAGGTGCAAGAAATGCTAAAACGTACAGATTAAAGCCTTTCTTTCGTTTTCCTATAAAAACGGGACAAGTGCAATAATCATCATTTCAACAATTTTGCTTTCATTGGATAACGATGAGCAGCATGACGAATTTTCGAGGGGCACTCGAACTCAAAATCTACAAGTGATCTCCTCATAATCACACATTGATTTTACACAACGACGTGTCCCAATCACGCGACCCATGTACATAAAAATACTGTAGTATATTTGGCTAAGCAATATTTACAAAAAAAAATCTGATTGCAAAATATTTTTTTTAATGAGACTCCTCTCCATAAGAATATTCTATTTAAATTAAATGACAAAGTAAAAGTCTCTGCGAAAAATGTTGTGGGCAGAAGCATTAGGTTGTTTGCAGAGCATGCATAAACTTGTAATAAGGAGATAGCGGAAGCAAAGTAAATTCGACACTTCTATTCAACACAATGCGAGCAAAGGAATAAGAGAGTGTTTGGATTACTAATTTTCCATTCCACTCCACTAACTAGCCAACTAACCAACCAACTTTAATCACATTATTGCAAGTCAAATCCTATAAGCAAATCTGAGCCTATGCCAGACGTTTCAAGGTTCATCTACAAGGTTGCTTACTATTTGCTACACAAGCGGCTTATTATGTATGTACATTCTACTCTCTCCTCCTCTCCTCCAAACTTTTTGCATTTGCCAACCACTCCTGCTGTGAATTGTGTGTGTGCTTCCAACGGATCAATACTTGGTTATTTACATGCTTTGTGTTGGGACTGAACAATTTAAAGGTACTGCCACCAACAAACCAAGGAGCGTGTGTATATGCAAGTAAACAAGCAGCACGATTTGATCACAAACGATGTGCTGCCCAACAACCTCCACACTTTTTGTCATTTGCTTTGTTTTCCTTGAGTCAGAGAAGATACTGATACGACCAGCCACGACCATTAGCAAGAGAGAATAATGGTGAGGAGGGGGATCTGTACTAATGGCATTTAATTCATATGTGTATTTACTACGCTACCCCAGTGACCAACAGACCTTTGTACATATCTACACACAACAATTGTATTGCACCACTACCGTATTCACATCTCATTTCACATCAACAATTCGAGTAACCTTGCATAAACTTTTTTAAATGCCAACCAAGCTACCAGCACGAGTCTTGTTGTACCTAAAGATTTCTGCGCATAACATAATGAAATTTACACACCAAGATGTGAGCAGAAATTCCTAACTCACCAACTCCATGCAACTTTTTGTGACCGAGTTACTAAAACAGTACTTGTTCCGTGTGTGCATATTACACCGTGTGCATACCACGAGCTGGCTTTAGACATATATCATCACACACCAAGCATGAGACCATCAACAAGCAACCAACTAACTGCGTTGATTCATTAAAGAATTGTGTACATCACACACGGCGGAGAAGGATTAGATCATCCTCTTCGCGTGTGCACCGCAAAATACCGGCCGGCTTTTGTGCCAATAGTTGGCAAATGCACGACGCAAGTGTTTGCATAACAGGAAAATATACTCGCAAATCCAACAGACTTGCTGGTGCGCATTAAATATCCCCGTACAGTTCCAGCAGTACTTATTTAAGTATTTACTGGATGGTATAAAACTCAACCCAACCCACGAACCACTGCGTCATCTTATCTATCTCTCAACATAGAGCATTTTTTAGTGTTGGGAATAATACGTGACGTATGTACGTACTCGTCCTTTATGCTTTCTGGCTCTGCTTCTAAAATTGAACGAGATACACAATTTTGCAAAGAGATTCTGTATATGTAGCATTAATACGACCGTCTTTTGCGCCGTGGTAGGTAGTAGTCGCACATATATGTGCATACCTATAAAATGTCCGATGAGAGGAGTCAACAGATTTGGATGTTGTATAACGAACCAAACAACAACAATTCTGTGGAACTTATTTAAACGGTGGAATTTATTTGCACGCCGGCTAGATTGGATCTGTTTTGGACGTTGAGAACGTTTCTGGAACAGGAACAAGGGTCAACAAAACACATCGTTTCAGCTCAAAATAACCAAGTTAACAAAGAAGGAGAACGCTAATGACGCAAATGCACGAGTCAACAATTGTTATTCATTTAAATGAAATCCAGACTAAATAAACTTAAAAACAATAGAACGAGTATCCTTTCCGACGGACACTTACAAAAACAACGAGTAATCTTGTAAAGGCAAAATGACTTGAAGAAAATAGGAACACCATTACCAATCGATTTAGTAAAATTAACTCGTGAATAGCACCACCGATTTGATGTCATTCTATCCCATTCCACAGTTCCATTAAGTTGTGGGTTTCATTTTAATCATGAATGGTAAAATTAACACATGCATGACTGACATAAATGCTCTATGTATGCATTTCTATGTTGTTGTTTAATTTCTAATATTCATTTCTAATATTATCGGCATCGGTGAAAACACGTTTGGTGAAAGTTTTAGTATAACCTTCTCCGAATGAGCACGTGAGGAAGGCATGGGCCTCGGCGAAATTACTCTGGATGGAAGATTGATATAAATAGTCAAGGTAAAATAAACAAGTGAGGTTGATGAGCTGTTTAAGGCCATCGTCGGTCCTCCTGCCAGGGTTTTAAGTTTTTAGCTTTAAAACACTTGTCAGCAAACATTGTATTACGACAGCTCTCCAACTGCTTAAGCGACCTTGCATTGCATCCATGATAAACCCGAGTTCAAAGCACGGAATTTGGAATGGCACGTTCGCAAAAATGCATTCTACGTATTCTGTGCATTTATAGGCACCCGCATCCTACGGCCATTCCATTACATCGATCAATGACAGGAGGGATAAATTACCGTTTATTCTTGTTTGTTATATGAGTAACCTCAAATGCTATACGTAGGTTTATGCATCCTGTACACACGTGTTGTATGAGAGCAAAACGAATGGCTCATGATTTTCTTAGAGGCTGGTAAGCTCAATAAGTAATATGCGATGCAACATGCAAATCGAACGAGTCCCAAGCCAAAAATATAAATACATGCGGTGCCAATGTACAATCCGCAAAAATTCTAATCAAATCTGCACGGTTATACTTTCCTTGTTAATTCGGGGCATTATCACCGGACACACAAAACGTGCGCTGTTGCCACTTGATGTGTGATCTCAAATGACATTCATACGTATGTTCGCAATAATCAGATGTGAACCTAGTTGGATAGATGCAGTTTTATTAGTCCTTGAGCTTAAAAAGTTCAACGCAAGGTTATATCCAATGACACCACCATCATTTTAAACAACTTCATTTGGTGATAGTGTAAAATAGGTATGCACTGTTTCGGCCTTTGACTTTGGTGACGACTGATTTTCCTCGTCACTGCCTCCAACTTGGCTGCTGCTGCTGCTGAGAATTGCATCTGGCACTGCATCTGTCAGCTCAAGTGAGATGAAAGGTGTGCAACTTTGAACTTGGATGGATGCAGATAATGAATATCTAACGTAGCCATTTAACTGGATGGATGCTCAAATGCCTAAATTCTGGGCTAACTGATGATTTGTGTATTTGTTTATCAGGTAGTTCACGTTGTTTATATATTAGAACACACCGTGCTTGAACATCCTCTTTAAAAATGGTGACGAGAAGAGAGATAAGCTTGACTTTGACACGCTTCATCTTGCTTATTAATCAATCAAGCTTGCACAAATCTATGGTGCCACACCTACTTCTTATTATATCCCAATTGGATCCCACAACAATAAACAACGAAGCACAAATACTTTAGTTCTGCATTTTTTCCCCCTAATCTGCTCCTGAAAGATGTAAAGATTAGACTTATCTGGTTACATACAGTATGAAATAAAAGTGTAAAAACGCTCAACTCAATGTCATCCAATTCATCAGCAAAGGTTACTTTTAGTACAGCAGCTTACTAATATTATGTATTACACGAGTGTATTCTGTCCCATCAACTGCTTGCTTACTACCAACCAGCCCTGCACAATTCTCAACTTAATTGATCCTTGAGCTACCTCATCACGGATTTGGAAGGTATTCTAATAATGCATTGCATGTCATGGGAGAAGATATATTGCGATGGTGCAAGTTTATGTGCAGAGTTGTTCAAGGCTCAAGGTGAAGATTGACGATCGCCCATTAAAGCAGCCAGCCCAATTGATAACCTTTTACATGCCAACGAAACGACAACGCCATGCACAACGCGCTAACAATTGTGCCATTATTACATATTCCACCGCTGAGATCTCTTATGTACGTTTCATCTTTGCCAACCAATGGCAATACCTACGCATGGACAGGCTCCAGCAAAAATCAACATATTTAGCAGATTTAAACACCCTTCCTCGTGCTCACATGTTCGTCAAGTTGATGATTTTAAAAGGATACAAAGAAATTAAACTCACCATTGTTGTCCACCCAATGTGGAGATTTGGGACTGCCAGAATGGAGACTCATGAGAACCAATGCAGCAGCGCACTCGTCCATCTCGCCATCTCCGCCAGCTTGGAGCATGACCGGTTGGAAAAGACTTCCTGAACTGGGTCGTCGTTTTCTCGACCTGCGACAAGAAAATGAAAATTAACTAAATACGTTTATTACATACTGAGCTTTAAGTAATCGTCAAATTAAATGTGCCTGCTTCAGCCTGGTCGATATTATTTTGACCAAAGGCATTGCATTATAAAGTCATTAAGTGCAGTAAATTGAGTAATAAAAATGTGATATGTTTTGCATCCCAGCACGAACGAGACGTAACATGCTTAAAGTTCTCCTACATACCAAATAACTTTTAGTTATCATTCAACAAGAAAACGACCACCACTGCGTCTGCTGAACTGACTCTAACTAACTAAATACAATACGCTCTCTCTTCCGGATGTACTTTTTTGCCATAAAATGAAACAGACCTCGCGTAATGCAATGCGTATCCGTGTCAAATTCGCATAACGTAACAACAATCAGGAATTCAAAATTACACTATTCCATTTTACTGCAAGTAATAAATAATAATAATACTGTGATCATCTCGCTGCTAATACTGCTTAATGACACCGCGTCATCGTAATGAAAGCACTATCAAGTTGACAAACTCAAAGTCGACATGTTATATTGCTAATTCATTTCATTGTAATTCCTGTAAAAAATAGTGAGTTGAACGCTGATTATTACATACACAAATTAAGCCTACTGGCCTTTGGGCACCAACAATGCGGTAGCAGAACCAGTACGTACATACTTTTTAGCCGTACGGCACAATCAAGTCAAGCACGTTTTTGATGTTGGCTTGATTGCCAATGAATTTATGTGAGAACATTTGTTTGATATGTGGTGGACAAGAGCAAAAGTTATTTCCCAATATACGCACACATGTAAAATGTATGTCATTACTACTAACTTAGGCTACAAGGCATTATATACTTTAGTCGTAATTTCATTTCATTCGCACTTCATAAATTGAAATTATAACTCATTTATGACGGTATTGAAAATTAGCATAAGAAGGACTTTCATCACTCAAATATTTTTACTTTTATGTACTTAAGAAGTATTTGAGAATTTTGTATGCACTTTGGCTGGTCTTGATGTACGTGTGTATGTGAACAAGAACGAGTTGTTGCTAAATCAGTTACGCTAATTAAAACGAAGGAAAAACTTAAACCTTCTTTTAATTTGTTTCTGCGTAAAATATTGTACAATGACTGTAACTTAACCAACAACGTCCTCTGAGCTGCTAAAAATTATAACGTTTCTTCAACACTTTCCATATCTCTCAAATTGCTGTTGATTTTTATCTCATTATTTTTATATAAAGTTTTTATGTGCTTAACATTAATTTGGTATCTCGCACACACACACATCACCGTTGTGGTTAGTACTTACATGCAATTCTATGTTACGGTCAATAAAATCTAAAGAATAGGCATCAGAACAAGCTGTTGTTGTATTCATGTTACTTTTACATAAATAAATAAATGAAAAATATTATCACCAAGTGTCGTGGGTGGGATGACGTATAAGGCCTAACTCAACATATCTACATGCATACATACATAAAACAAAATAGAGTCAATGTATACAATGCGCCACTCTCAATTCAATTCAAAACTTTGTTCACATTCACACATCAAAATTATAAATTACAAATAAGATAATTGTGAATGTAAATAGGGCGCCACATCCCTTGTTCTACTGGGTGCACAAGCTTCAATTCAATGTCTTTCACGTTTTTGGAACCATTTATTTTCCACATGATAGGCAGATGAGGTGTAATAAATAACTGCACACAATGCCGATTTATTTGTAGTGGCATTTGTATGATGTATGTATGATAAGACGGTGGTAGAGTGCTTATAGTTTATCAAAATAAATGCATGCACCAGGCTTGCTGAAACGGTGACCGGTATATCCGACCGGTTGACATAATTACATGATAATTCAGAAATGTAACCTTATCATAGTTAGTGCTAACCACCTCCAACAGCAAAGCTTGAAGCCTTCTCTCATTTTAAAATTCAATTCACAATCACAAAATGCACAGGTACGTAAGAGTCAATTGTTAAAAAAGAAAGTTTCCTCACGTTTCGGTCTAGTTGCAACATTATTTAATCGCAAACCAAAAAGCAAGATTAGATATCACATCGGCACGTTAGGTTGTAGGCAAAATTGTGTGTGATATGGATTTTATGTATTCGGGTGGTGAGCGTATATAGTAGAATCATAGTGAAGGTGATTGTTTGGCTGATATTAAACCTGTGACGATGTATCTATTTAAACTATTTGTCCTGCATTGTTTGAGCTAACGTCTTTCATTCTCAACTTTGGCTTTTGTCTTATTTAATGTTGATTACATGAAATAATTGTGATGCTACATAACCTATAGTCACTTTCACACTATTTGGAGATTCTTCCCAAATTAGCCAATGGGTTGGGAATAAGATGCAATTCACAAGACCAAATCTTCTCGCATTCTTTTCTAGAAAATACAACTTCACATAAGACTCTTTATATAATCGGGAATGTGGCAATGTTAATGCGTATGACGTTATCCTATCACTGAAATGGAAGTAAACAAAGATACCTAAATAGTCGGGCACCGTGTTTGAGCTTTTCCCAACACGCACTTATGTGTTCCACACACTCGAGTCAACACGTTCAGGCTTGACTGTTATGGCGTCATGGCCACAATGATTTCCTACCCGGCAAGGCAGCAGCCTGCAAAAACTGGAACAACACTGCGCAGTATGCCAAAACGCTTCTGCAATAACCTGGGTCACGCCACCAACAACATAGACAAGTAACCACAATTGGCAAAACTGCCGGCGTGTGCAACGTGACGACGTAACGATGCAAATTGCGTAGCACTCCTACACTGAATTTAAAAAGACTATGGCACTAATTTAAGTACTATTCGATTTTAAATACGATTCTCCCCCGTGCGTTTGTCGGCTTCCTCCATGTCATGAAACGGAAATCGGGTTTTCCGCTTGAGTCAGAATGTCACAAAGGTTTAAAAAGAAAGATTAAGAAGGTCAACTATCAGGGTGATGTAGGTGACAATGCGACAAAGTACAATAGACATTCATAGTTTTCTCTGACGTCAAACCACAAGTACAAATGCTTATATTTTTGGCCCTGAAATGGATTTGTGCTTGGGAATCAATATTTTTGCAACTCCTTCAACCTTATTTTTTTTATACATGGTAATAAATAATGGTCTGGGTTATTCTACATGCGTCCATATTCACGTAGCACAATAGATCATAACATGTGCCCACGCTATGAATAGTTAGTATTGATAAGGTTACGCAACGTAGATCATATTTGTGTACTTTGCCTTAATTTCATGCACGAGCATAATTTATCCCATTCCGAATGGACTGCGGATGTTGTGCGGAATTCAGCAATGTCGATGAATCTCTACCCCTGACATAATGACATAATTCGAACTACAACAAGAATTCAGCATCAGCCCCCGCTCGGAGTACCATTTACTAAATACACACCACTCTTACTGATCATCATCATCGTCAAGTCTACTCGCAGGCTGCGAAGCCCATCTTCAATGAGTAGTTTTTAGCACTTGTTTGTAAATCAAGTCCCAGATTTGGCTAGCTCACGTTACGTTTATTCCAATAGCAGCAAGTATTCCTTCACCACAGCTCTAGCACCACGTAACAACGCCGCTTCTCTATTTTGCAAAGTATGCGATTCCCGTTCTTTAGTGCAAAGCTGCAGGCAGTGAAATCTGTGGTGACCTACTTTCGGTTTGTCGAGGCCCGAGCCTCCGTCGCCTCGTCGCCATTATTGCTTTATCGCCACTTGTTTGTTCCCTCACATTTTGTCCCCCATTTTCTATACCAACGCCGATATTGCGTTGCACAATGCGGTTTTTGCAATGTAAAATCATGATGGTTGGTTGGTGGTTTGTCGCAACCGTAATACTGCTTGTAGTTCGTATGCATTCTGTATGTGCTTATTAGTTTAACATGGTGATGTTGGTGGTGGTGTGGCAGATAGCTAAAAATATGACAAATTAAAATATTTGCTAGCTCAAAATAGCTTATTGCAACGCACACGAACGTCAAAATCAACATTGCCAGTTTCGACATGACCAGCCTTGGCCCTGATTGCGATTCTTGTCGAATGAGCTCCGTTCTCACTCTGTCAGTTCAATATTTAAGTATTATCAATCCTCGCGACTGCTATCCCTGCTCAACTATTCTGTGTATATTGGTTCTGAAGCTACTGTTGCTACTTCTTACTTCCGGCTTGCATGACAATGATGTACACATCTCATTTTGAGCCTCCAACATATATGCTGCGGCGTATTTTCTTACTGGATGAAACTATGATTCCCAGAATAAATAGATTGTAGGTCTTTGAGACATGTTTTAAATGAAATAATCGATCTTTTCTACGTACATGTGTTTTATCCAAAGTTGTAACATCGTATAGTAATATTTCATTTTTTTAAATTTCTTTCACAATCCATAATATGACATCACGTCCCTCATTCATTCGTTCGTTCAGGTTCCACAACCATGAGCCAACGCAAATCATTAATCCGCTCTGCCTCTCCTGATACAGATGAGGGCTAATCGCCAAATTCTCGATATTCGACAATATACGTAAGTACTGAAAATTGTGATGGGAATAACATCGTCATCATTATCACATGTGTGTGTGTGTGTATCATTTGCTATTCAAAGGCAAATCTTGCTTTGGCCTAATGCTCTTTTTGAATGTACATATATGCAGACAGTGATTGCTTAAAGATACTTTATTTATGATGAACCATTATATTTGCATTTACATTATTCTCCTCTATTCTCGAGGACACAACGAAAACGGCATACTTTCCTTTCTCCCTTAATTTATAGGCCTATATGTCAATGATGATGGTTGCCACATATTACATAGAGAGACAAATGCTGCATAACTAACTAAATTAGTGCTACGAAAAATAAATCACATTAAACGGCACATGATTCGAGATTCTTGGAGGTCTTTTCATGACTTGGATGGGCAGTTTGGCTTTATGATGATGTGCCTGTATACTCAGCAGCTCTACAAATATTGCATTTCGTCCACAGCTTACGCAACAAAAAGTGTGAACAATATCAAATCACCTACCGTGCCATTCTCTATTCCAAAAAATAAATGGCAAATTGCTAATTCTCCGTGGATGTAGATAGGAAAAAATCTCATGCGACATACCGGCTTTGCTTATTTTTGAAAAGCCATTTAATTCTCACCGTCTCCATTCTAACGTTATTTTCATCGCCGTACAAAATATGCCTGCATATGTACGTACGTAAATATGTGCCTACACTAAAGTTAGTGGATAGCTAGCCGCAACAGGACACAGTCATTTAAACTTCTCGACTCAATTTTCGATGAAATTACCTACCTCTAAAATTCGTGACATACATTGCGAAACTTTAACCACAAGATAATGCCTAAGTGCTTAGCAAGATAATGTGACAATTTAAAAAATTGCTTTGAACAGAACAGCTAACGAACCACAACAGCGGCAGTGACAGCGCAGCCCATCTCTTTTTTCAAAGTATTTCTATTTTATGCAATATTTAAAATTGTACAAAATTCGTAGGCGCATTTCACAGGTCTTTGTCTTGAGATTACAAGTGTTTCAAATTTATTAGTATATTCATGAAATCAAAATGGGACAGATTCTTCGGCAATAATAATATCAACTCAATGGATGTTTGCTAGTAAATAACTTGTCTGCTTTTTGGCATAAATACGAAACCTGAAAAAGTGCGCAGTTGATTTTTCGAATATTCTCCTTTTAATAAAGCTATATAATACTTTGCCATCACTTCTTCGTAAACGGCTCAAGTGAGCATCATCAGTTACATTGTAGAATTTGGCAGCATTGTTAAATGACAAGAAATCCAAAGAGTTATGGAAATTTGTGCCCCAGACAAATTCACTTTTTTAGAGGACAAGACCTCAAGCAAGCCAGTTTTCTATTGGCCTGAAGGCACAATGAGGATATGTCGTCTCATTCAATAAGGCTCTCCACAAATTAGAGTTTATATGCAAATATATAGCGGCGCATCTCATTCTTGCGTATTTATGTATCCTGTCTGTATCATGCACATTTAATCACACAGCTTTGTTATTATTATGACGAGTAATTAATCTCAACCTCAAATGTTGGTTATACATAACAGTCTGACTTATCTGTATGATGGATCACCAACCACCATCAGCCATGCAACAGAAACGGCAGCCACGTCCAACAATCTCAGAGTTAAGTAGTGCAACTCGCAACTGAATAACTCACCCAAGTAAACATGCAATTAACCGTACTCTTGGTAAGGAAAAATGTTTTGACTGATGAAACTAAATTGCAGGTTTACCTGAACCCAACCTGTCCGACAAATTAAATCAAGTCGCTCCTCCTGAAAACTTGAAAATTCACTCCTGAATGTCTTATTGAGTTTAAATCACACTAGAATTAAGCGCTGCAGACACATATTATAAAAATGGAGTAGAAAAGAGGATTCTTCCATCCTCCTCCTTTTCCTAATAGAGTTCAAGACTCTCACATAATAGTAATTATTGCCCATTCTTCGATGTATGCACAACAGAATGCTCACATTTTCCCTTATGCACTCTGATTACCAACTTTTTTTAGCTTTAATTTTAATCACACCTGGTTCAATTTGCAATAACTCAGATTCATACATTGTATCCATGCAGGAATTGTAGCACCCTCGTTTTGTATATTTGCCATAGTTGATGTATGCCAAGTACCAATAGTGAAGTTACATTGAATGCAAATGTTTTGAACAATTCAGGATAGAACAGCAGCCACCCATGTCAATTCAAACAAAAAAATGTGAACAAATAAATAGGATAAAAAGGGATTAATCAGACGCAGAATATAATAATAAACTGGGAGTATGTACGTGATCCCAATAATGGGAACAACAACGAGGTGTAGTTCATGCAGTGTTTACTACCCAAAATTTAAATGCATATACACCCTTCATTATTGTTGCTACTAGGAAAAGTGTTTATGCCATCACTTACATAGTGGAACTCCGTGGGACGTCAATCGAAGCAGTTTGTTGGTTACGTTTCCGGTCAGCTACCAGTCTGGGCAAAAGAACGGTAAAGATAAATAATTAACGATTTGCAATAATATGTGTAAAAATTCTTAAGATGCAAGGACGGACAGACGCAACAGGTTCTTTCGGTGCAACCCTAGCATTTGTACTTCTGGACGTGCAATTGTTGCACCAAAACAAACGTATTTCGTACCTGGCAAAGTCGAAATCCTGCTCCTGGAGTCTTGCAGATTTCCTTGATTCCAACAAGCGAACTTCATCCAACTTCTTGGTTACATCGAAAGGAATCTATAAAAGAATCAGAGAGGAAAGATTAGTTTACATTGCATTTCGTAATTTACAATCAAATTAGCTCCATTGTTTCTCCTAGAATCTTTCTTTTCCTCCCTTTGTTTCAAATGGCTCCATGTGCAACGTATCATTATCATTGTTACCATTAATTTGCTAATAAGGAGATTGTACAAAATGGGCACCAAATCAGGAGCAAAATCAAAACGAGCAAATACATAGATTTCGAGCTCGGCTGAGATTTCATTTGACTGAACACGAGAAGAATTGGTCTAACTGCATACACAATTATTTCTGTTTTTTGTTGTCTTTAGCTAAACCACAACCAACAGGAAGAGCAGTGTTGCGCGAAATGTTGGGTTTATGTATGTAGCGTCATCGTACATTTAAACGTATTCAGAAACCGGCGAAAGAAACGAACCACAAATCAGTGAATAGAACACGACGACCCTCCTCCCAACAACATGCTGAGGAAATTTTCTCTGAAATCTAGCGAAAATTACAAAAATGAGATTTCCACTAGCCTTTGTCTAGCCCTAATTTATACAAATTTATTAATAACAAGTTGGTCTAGATGTGTATATGTAAATACGTACAACAAGTGCTGATATGAAATATCGTATACTAAAAGTCTAGGTATATAATTGCTTGTCAATTAGTGTGAGTCTCGACTGTTACGGAAAATTTTGAAATACAACGTGACATGGTCACGGCTATCTGATATTTTCCAACATAATTGAAGTATAATTTAGTGCTGACTCTGTATATGCAATTACAACCAGTTTATGAAACTGCAGAAAACCAACCAAGTTTTTTTATTAAATTTGCACACAATCTCAATCGCTAATTTCCAAAGGTAAAAAATGACTCATTCACCATGTTACAATCCAAGTGTTGTACGTACGTACCGCAATAGTGGCACTCTTTTCGCATTTCAACGTAAATTAACTCAATTTTTCGAAAAGCGAGATTAACGAATAATTACGATATTGCTTGACATCCTTATTTTCCAAACAGAATCGGATTCCACTCATGGAATTTCCAATTAAAGTTATTATTAACAAAATTCATTGAGCCAAACTATATGACTCGACAACGACAACCTAAGCAATGCAGCCAATATTATCATTACCCAATCCATGTTTATACCGGCATCACTTTAATAGTTGGTAGTTTGATGGGGGTATCTATGTGTAGTATGTAATACGATAAAACCTGGGTTGATCGAACGTAACCAGCCATCATTTTAGTCAGTTAGTCAGAATCTACAAAGTTGGGCATAATACAGAATCACAACAGACCGGTTTCGTTGGCTGAGAAGGCATTTATAATACATATGCAAGCCAATTTATATATGTAGGCTTGCCAATTATCCGATGCAGGTAACACTCGCATCTCAGAAAGAAAACCCATTTAATGGCAATGTCCACCTCCTCCTGTTCTACGGTGTACGTACGTATAAATGTGTGGTGAGTGCACAATGAGTTTGCAAAAACGTACATATGTGAAGAAACTTGTAGCGTGGAAAGACGAGTGGATAGGATGTTATCCCGTTAGAAGAGCGCAATTGTTCATCATCTCTAAGCACCAGCAGCAACAACAATGTCTTCTTTTCGTTCTTTCCTTCACATGACACTATTATTATATGTATTTTTTCCACAAATCCATCAAAAACCAAGAAAAAATCTTTACATCCCAATCACCAACTTTTCAGCGTTTCCATTTTCAAATCATAACATAACCACAAAAAGGTGGAATTAACCGCATATCAAGTACGGGGTTTGCCCAAATTGTGTTATCCTATTCTTATGAATGTGCGTTTGTCTATGTGAGCATGTACCTAAGTATTTATATATTTATATGCATGCATACACGAAGTCGTGGCAATTTAAACTGCGTGTGTGAAATGCGTTTTACAAGCGGATTGGATTGGAGATTTTTGAACAATAAAGAAAGCTGATAGTTTGCATGCAAAATCTTTGGCTGAATTTAAAACTTGATCTCTTAAATTTCGTAAAAAGTGACACATGAATTCGTGCGAAGTGATAAAACCCATGCCTCTTTACATACGTAGGTACATATACCGTCAACCGTATTTTATAGTAGTCCCACCAAATTACGCATGCAATTTACTATGATGCTTCGCACTACATGTATGCCTATGTTAAATAGCTTATTGTCGTTGCTATTGTGAAAATTCTCTTTTTTCTGTGCAGTATCGCTTTTCAGTTTTTTATTTGAATTTCATCTTGTTTTGCTACTTTAAATTTAGTAAGAGTCCATAGCACTTGTGCCCATCGTGGTAATCATAAATTTCTGCCACAGCCACAGCACGTACTTACGTAGTCACCAAACCACGCCAAAAGAAATTATTGCAGAGCCGGTGTCTTGCTGAATTTTACCTGCTCTAGTTCTGCGAAAGTAATTGAGTAGAAAATACTTTGCCAATTGAACATCGAGTTCAACTTTTTCGTACGAGTCCGAGCTTAATGTTGTATCTCAACTTCTTTATCTATGATTCCCCCTGCTCTTAAAAGTGTCGAATGGAAATAATATAGTTTATTTAGGTGCAACAATCAACAGTTTTATTTTATTTTATGGTGCAGTTACCTCCTATTTACACTTGTTTACACACATGAGCAATTTCAACTTGGCAAGAAATGACGATTATATCGGATGAGGTGAGAGCTGCATACAGAGAGAAGTTGCTGCTTCTCTGGCTTTGGCGAACGCGTATTACATATACAGACAACTTTTCCTTCGAGTATTGTAGTGGTGGAGGAAGAAAGAAAGATGTCTTTTGTGCAAAAGCATTGCATGAGAGACGAGTTCAGTTGCATGCTACGAAATAAAATCATTCTTTGATTGCCGGTTATGTACCTACCAACACTAAATTTTAACTATAATCAAATCACAATCTCGATATGAGATTGTCCTGCTAATTTTCCCAAAATTTAACATTCTTAGCACGATAGGGAAACAAGATAACATTAATCTTGCGAGTGTACATGTAATGCGAGCACAGCTATAACCTTTTTAACTACCAGCCCCGCTACCCTTAATAAATCAAAGAGATAGCAAATCTTTTAATTGATTAAAGAGCAGCAGTGTCAGATCAAAATCAAATCTTATTACGTTAATATGAATTAGTGGCAATGGAAGTGTGTGCAACGCCACATTGATCGTATATTTGATTCTATATGTAGGTACGTTATAACCAAGTCCTTGCATTTGATACATATGCACTTGAATTATTTTGATGCCTATAAGTATTCAAATACTAATAAGTAAGGATTTGTCAATATACGGCACTGTGGTTGCGTCTCACCACTGCTACATATTACATATTTACGTTTGTGGTAGAATGGTGGGGAAGAAGAGGGTGCAACGAATTAATTAGCAGAAAGTTGTTGATACAACCCAATTTCTTGGTTGCGACGCATCTTCTGCAAACTGCTATCACCATGTCCTCCACACACATCATATCAGGTGTGTGTGTGTCTCATAGTAACATGAAAAACAGTTGCTTCACCAATACAGACTCATCTTAACATTAATTGGCTTCCACAATTTCTGTTTAACGAGGAGGAATGTTGTCGTCTATAGGCTTGTGAGAGTCAAGAATATTAATGTTTGCACTTACTTACTTACTATGCGCTATTACTACTATGATGGCATTTATTACTCTGTAGAATTGTATAAACTAACCATTTTTAATCGAACTCGTCGTCTGCAAAGTGCGTCGTAGTGGATGCACATATGTGTGGAGTAAGTTGAGTCAAGTGATTCAATGAGATTATAAAAATGTAGATGCCGGTTTGTCAACAACTCGACGCCGTCGTCGCCATCCAATAAAAGTTAAATTTTAGATTACAAGGTGTGCTGTTTATCAATTCCTGTTCTGTCTCTGCGTGTCACTGATCTGACTTAATAATGTCAATTTAAAGTACAGTAACTTTTTTGGATTATGGCGATATTGACTGAATTATTTTATTGTGTCGTTACCATTGTACATATTTCTTGCAATTGAAAGCTGCTATTTTATTCGAGTGGCTGAATATGTGTCGCAAATTCAGATACAAGCGATGCCATCCAGTATTAATGCTATTCAACAAGGAATGAATTTGAATTCATCTTCATTCAGTCAATGAATTTAAAGGCTGTTGTGTTGTGCTCTCTCTCTCTCTGCAGTTCATTCGTATGAATTTGATATGGAACACAGAGTAAATAAACAAAGATATCAGTCCTTCATTCCGATGAATGTGTGTGCGTACATAACACAAAATCGAGGGCGGCATACATGCATAAGCCCCAAAACATAAGGACAAATGCAGATAATAATTACTCCAAGTGCAAAAATATAAACCACATCAAAATGAGGCAGACTGGTAGACAAACAGAATAATCGTTGTCTGGTCTGGTAAACCAACTAACAACAACAGCCCACGGTGTATGTAGCCAAGCACTAACCAACACCAAAATAACTCTACTGCATAACCAACAACTTTCCTTAATCTAGGAGACGCTATCTATCGCACCAGCGTGTTGTCAGCACATGTAAGGTCAACGCAGTTTAAACAAAAATTGACGATAATTGAACAAATAATGTGAATATGATTCACAAAATTCACATACCGGCAGTACTCCGACCCATCTTATCTCAACCACCAGACTTTTGTCTCGATCTGATGTGTATAATATAATATAATACCACAGCAATTTTGTGTCGTCGTCTGGCTCAATTTTTCGTTTCACCTTCTTAGCAGCACGCAAACCTTTCCAAAAAATTTAAGCAAACAACAGCCTTTTGTACTATTTTTTAAGTCGCAGTTATTCGACATATGAAGAACATTTATAAAAGACTCGGCTCTGACTCTGAACTTAAACTGGAGTAAAATGAACTCTGCTCTCCAATTATTGATGTCACATCCTCATGAAGAGTATCACATGCATACAACATCAGCACGCATCATCTCGATCTGCACAACCACTCTTCGGCCACATTCATAAATGTGAGTGTGGCTGTATGTACGTACGCTGTGCAAAAAAACGTGTCAAAAGAATGAGCAATATTATCCCTGATTCAAAACACATTGTGGTTTAACCTCTCGAAAGGAAAACACGCGGAATGAATAAATGCCAATAGTATTGCAGTGAGTTGTCTTTTTGTGGTGAATTACCATTTCATTTGAATTCATGAACCATTCAGAAAACATTATATATTTCGGATTCTATGAAATCTCAGAAATCAAAACCAAGTTTTTCACTTAATCAGTCATTCACTTTCCTCCCTTATTTTTCGACACAGTGCATGCTCAACTCTATGCGTATATATTTCCTCCTACATTTCGTATCTAAATAAGTAACAGTGATTCTCATTTCGTGTTAGAATAAATTGACCTTTTATTTGGTAGGTCGTTGGTCACTATTCCTATTACTGCTGGAGCAGGAATAATGACCGTGCACATGAACCATGAGCATGGTATACATACATGCGATGAGAGGAACAAACGTCAAACTGTCTGCAGAAAAGTTCAGCTACACAATGGCAAGGTAAAAAGGCAAGAGTTTAAATTCGTATCAGCTACAAAAATCGTGGGGTAAATAATTGGTCAATGCGAACTTGGTTGCAATTTATTGGACTGAACGAATGAAACAAGCAAATTTGAGCCCAATAAAAAAATTGCTATCCAGTGTAACGTGATGCCCGTGTGTGTGGTTGTTGCAATTTCATTTCAATTCAGCCTGTGAATATGTTGCTCATATTGAATTGAATAAAGTACAATAACTGCGAATGAAGGTTGTTGGCTGATCCAAGTCAAAGTAACCTAACCTATCACGGAACATGGTCCATTTCACCAGTCGTCCATTCAACCGGTTTCCTTTGCTCGCAACATGTTATTATGTGGTTGCAATGCAATGCCCTTAATTATTACCTTGCACGGTTCCTACCAGCACACACAACCGGGCAACAACATGACGAAAGTTTTTGTAAGATTTCTCTTTCCAGAGAGTAGTCGCAAGAATTAAAAGTTTCGCCTCAGTAATGACTCCTGTCCATATGCACACATTGAGCAGTGGAAATGTTGCCATCAGCAGAAAACTACTCGGAATTGGTAATCACCTACTGTTCACAGGAAATGAGCGACCGTATGAAATATTTTTTTAATCATTCGTATATGCGAGCATGCATAATTAACCTCACTGACTGAGCGTGTAGGTACGTTAAAATCATGATCATTCACATTGAACATGACCCTTCCTTTTGTTGCGTGAATGCCATTATTGACCGCCTCAATGTTTACGCAACACAATAAGTTTTTGCATGGCATGAATTTACGTAAGCAATCTCAATTACATATGTATGCATGCTCATCAGATGGATATACATGGACACGTAGAATCGGAAATCGAACAAGCTTTAAATCTATGAGTAATTTATTATGCAATTAGTTCTTGGAAGAAACAAACCCAATTCGGAAATTGTCAATCGTGTGTGAGCCGGCGTATGTGCATACAGTATCTGATGTTTTGTTTGATCAAACTATTTGCAAAAATGTTTTCACTCCAGCAAAGATATAACTTGATCGAGTATTTACAAATCGAAACGTGTATCACACATCAATGCTTGCATTTCGAATATGCATACATGTATTTGTGTGTATTGGTTTACCGTGTCTAATACGGCCTTCTAAATGATTTTGCAGGCAATAGTGCAAACATTGCACATTTCAGCCTGTAATCCTATCCAAGTAGTTTCCCGTCACCATTAAAAAGTAAAATTAGTCAAATATGCATCCACCACTGTGACACACACTTACTGGTGGATGTGTAAAATAAACAGAGCAAAATGTGCCATTAGATGTTCCAACCGAATCAGTTAACCTACTAACAAAAGTGGTGGTGTCTTGATGGTGGTAAAATTTGTTGCTATTTATTACTTGTGATGATCTGGTGAATTTCTGTGCCTGGTAAATTTCACTGTTTTTTTTCTTGCTTAGCACTTACTACTACGTATGTGCATATGTACATCCATTCCAATCCATCCTTCAAGTGTCAAAGTGTTCAAATCATATCAAGAACATAGAAAAATAACTAAATCCATTACATCAGTGTGACGTGTGTAATGTTGACATTACAAAACCAAAATTTGGGTAAAAACACCATTTCGAGGATTTGGGTATTGCATAGTCCGTGTATTCAATCGACCTAATCGATCCATGCACACATTATTGTCATGGACTTGATTTTTCCCTCTTCTCCAAATTCAGGTGAAATGGATCTAATCCCATTAAAATTAAATTGCACCAATTTCAGTTTACGAAAAACTACCTACAGCAAATTTTATGTAAATGCGTAGCGGTCGTGGTGGTGGTTGGTTGGTTATAGCTAAAGTGGCATAAAAACCATCTTTTATTACCGACAAGAATTCTAAGAAAAACATTTCCAAAACACAAAAAATATAGTTTATTCCCTTTTCTCGTAGCAGATAAAAAGATGAACTCTGTTGAACCGAGAGCGTGTAATTTATGCGAGAAAGGCAGAAAATAAGTAACTGGACTGAGGAGTCTTTCCTAATGCGTACTCATTTTTATTGCGAGTTCGAAAGTTGGATCAAGTTTAAGTGTTTGAGGGACTTGGGAAAAGGTGTCAGAAAATATTTTTTGAGCCAGTCATTAACCACATGTCAACCAAGAAGAAGAAGATGCAGCCAACGATGATCCGCCGATGATCCGCCGAGTGCAGAGTTATGCAGTGACGACTATTTAGTTTAGAGAAGAGCAACATCTTGTAATCTTTGTACCAGGCGTCACACACTGGCAAACAAAATGCAAAATGCACTTTAAAACACCACCACCATCACTTACTCGCTCGCTGTCATTTCCTATTCCTTTTCAACTTTGACTCTAGAGTTCAAGTAAACCAACTTATTGAACAAAACGGTCATTCTGTTGAGATTACCGAGATAATCCGCGATAACATCAGTCAATACCCAGGACACATTGTGCACTGAATTAGATTTGCAAATAAATGAGTTTATTTATCCTCCTTTTTTTCTCTGCACCGTTGCATATGTGCTGATTCTGAACGAGTTATGCAAACGAGGGAGAGACGACGATTGAATTTGTTCTTTGGACTGTTAACATTTCAGTTTAATCAATACAGTACATTGCCTTTTTGTTTGACAATTTTAATATTTTTTTAACGACTGACAGACTACCAAAATGAGCCTAGAAAAATGTAACTTTCGAGTTATTGTCCTCAATGAGGTAAAACTTGGACGCGGTTACGGAAAATCTATTTTCTCCGGTACTTCGTGGGTGACTACCCCACAATTAATTTATCTAGCTGACTCAGGAATAGTGGTGGTGGTGGTTAGGTGATTTCAATAAACTTATTTTGTAATTCACTTGGTTCGGTCTGTTACTTGGTTTATTACTCAGCTTTTAGGCATGAATACAATCAGACAAGGGTCATACATATGAGAACAAAATCTGTAATTCCTTTTTTATACATACGCGTAAGATTGGTGCATATTGCAACCCGGTACTTGTGCGGCTATCATGTATGCATATGAGGATGAAATTGGAAGAGACGTTGCATTACAAAATAAACTAACAACAGATATAAGGAAGTAGGAGAAACTAAGTGCTGAAAATCCTGTACTGAACTTACTAAATTTAAATGTGCATGCGAAAATTTGATATTCTTTGACATTCTTTGACCTCATCAGGTCGTGCGTATGCTGGTGATTTCCGTCGAAACGATAAATTCTGCATTTTTGGCCTTTGACCTCATCACCGTTGCGCTATGACCTTTTGACCCATAAGGTCAGTTAACGAACTTTCTCTTACTTTTAAAATTGAATGTCGATATCCAAAAGCAGAACTAGAAAAATTGATTCGCTCGAAAGTTATCATGCTGACGGACAAACCGATTGCAAGAAGTAGCTTCAGCTCCTTGTGCTCCTTAATAAAACCATCAGAGTATCACCAGGATGGCAACAAAGACCTCCACGTAAAACATGGAAAGTCTTCTCATCATCTTTGTGTTACAAAAGTCGTCGTCGTCGGTTGTAAAGAAGGAGTGCAATGCAAACGAGAAAAAAGATTGAAACTTTTTAGGCAGCAACACCCACCACCAGCAAACCTCGCTTTATTTGTACATGCGCCTTCCACCTTCTAAAACTGCGCACCAAATGGAACCAAAACAACAACATTGGAAGCCAGGCCAAAGAACTGGTGAACCGAGTTCACCGAACAAACGGCTGTTCTTCATGCCATGCTCCACATGGCTTCAAAAACCAGTGTGCAATATATATAAGCAATGCAACTCGAGTCCAGCAGCAGTGGTTGTTGTTTTGTGGGCACACTACGAGGGGAAATAATAATAAGCACTCTTTGATCACCTCTCGTCGAGTCAGCTTGTTAGTTAAATTGGAAAGTTGAATTTTGTACAGAACGAGATTTTGCTGGTGAGAGTTGGAGGATGATGATGCCTGTCTGGAAAATGTGTATGGTCTCCTTTGTCCTTGCTCGTTTCACGTCATTCATGGTCAAAACTATTCTGCACGTAGCCCTGAAATATCCCCACTTGCTTTCTCTCTCTCTCCTTTGCTCTCTCTATAGACGCACCGTCTCAACATGGCCCTTTCTCCCCCTTTAACTAACCATTATGTAACTCGGGAAGGGCAGCCCAAAAAATGTTGGCCTACGACCTATTTATTCTTCATGCAGGACTATGGAGCAAATTGCTTACCTCATTAGAACCGGGCGTTGGAGGGATGTTGATAAGAACTTCGTCAATCTGAGGCCGGTGATAGACCACATTGCCAGAAATTTCTCGCCCGTTGTGGGTGACAAACACTTTCTGACCTGTCCGGAGCTTGAGGCTCTATTTTGGAAAAAAATATTGTAAATTAGAGTGGGTTATATGTTTATATCGTAGATAGACACGCAAGTTAATGAAGTTTGTGTATTACTTCAAGAGACCTGGTAATATTATAGCGCATCGAAAAATAAATAAATGGATGGACTTACTGAAACATTGCCAAATCCTGGACCCTGTTGTACAGAACAAAATAGCAACAATCACTTGCATGCAATCCAAATCCATACATATGTGTGCGGAGACTATGGATCTATAAATTATACGTAGCTTGAGAATATACATATAACTTACGACGAGTTCGCTCTCGGAAAATTCCCTGGTTTCTCCAGTCTCGAAGCGAACCACGTATTTGCTGTTGGGTGTGATTCCGGTGTGGCAGTTGTTAAAGCAATGGAGTTCGTCCGGGTTTTTTGACCTAGATTATTTGATAATTTTGTACGGCTATTTACCATCATTTATGCCTTCGGAATTTTAATTTTTGATAGTAAAAAAGCGACAGTATGTGCAAGGATAAGAGCTTCTTGGTTTTAGTTATGCAAGTAAAGTTAAAGATTTTATGGGACCTACCCAATTATCACTCCGGGGCTGTACTGACTGGTCTCCCGCATTGGGGCGCAGATCCGCGTCCCCACAATCGACCTCTTCGCTAGGCGCTTTCCCGCAGACATGGTAACACCCTCGGTCTCAATAATGATGGGGCTGGATTTGAATATTTACTTGCTTTGTCAGAGATTATTGAGCCTCTCTCTTTGTAATAATGGCTTATTATTGTGCGTATGAAAATTGAGTGGTTAATAAGACTCTGAGACAGCAACAGCGGTAGTTGATTGGTTCATGAACACTGTGCTGGTAGCACTAGATGAATATATTGGACTGGATCAGCTAGGATTTGTACTAGGAAAGTGCAGATATCCGAATTTCCGTATCAATCTTTCCAAAACTGTTCCTGTAAAGAAAAGTTCAATAAGTTATAATACGCCTCAAATTTGCATGAATAAGTGCTGATGAAGTAAATCAGGAAAACGGAACCATTTTCAGTCTTGCCATACCTTTATCTCTTTGCAATATGAAAATATTCGTAAAAGTGACATTTTGCTGCCAAACATTCAAGAATTTGATCATGTTTCCCAATATTGACTTTCCCTTAATAGTATTACTCCTTTCTCTCGAGAGAATTATATTCACACAAATTTGAAATCTATCCTTGTCCGTTGGTTTATTTTGACGGTAAAAAAGTGGGGATGTAGGTCTACTTTAAAAACAGTAATACAAAACGGACCAAAGTAGAGTTGTGGTGGTTGTTGTTATTATTATTACGTGAGACTTGGAGTGCTACAACAAAGAGGTGGAATGGAATAATGGTGGTTCGTTGGCTTCGTACCAGTTGTTGTGTACATACATTAGCCTCAGGGTTTAATACTCTCCAAAATCTCACTCTCCCGACTATACTGCTGCTGGAGAGAATATGTACATATGCAACTTCCTGCTGACAACATCAACAAATGCAGTTGCTCCTATGCCGGAGTCTCATCATCCAAAACATAAGTCCCCCATCACCCTATGCCTTCCCTTAATGCTGACATGGTGGTTGTAGACCGGGCAGCCCTTGAGTACGCACAGCAACAACAACATTCCTCCACTTTCATCTTCTCTCCCAATTCCAGCTCCACCACCATCACAACAAAACAGATCTGACGAGACCGTGTGTTGTATCATCCTCCCCTCTGCCCAATATACGAATGTACACATACTCGTCCTTCTTTGTCTCTTTGTTATGAAATTTCCACTGCTGAGAGCTGCAGGGCCAGCCAACCTACCTACCTTCCTTCGACCCTTCCCAGTGCTGGCACAATCACTGCAGGTGACAAAAAACGGGCTATGACCTAGCAACTACCCGAATCCAGAAATGCATACATGTACATATGTACACGAGAGACAGCCAACACTACGGGTCTCCCCTGCTCTTTAAAGTCCTAGTTAACTCTTCAGATTTCAGCACTTTTCCTAATGAGTCTCACTTTGGTAAATTACCAGGAGACAAAGGAAAGGATCAAATTTCAATGGCAGCCACTGGATGTCTAATATATGTACATGCATATTATATATTCCCATGTACATACAAGAACTTAACAAACTGGTGTTATATAATGTAATATTTTGTATGTTTTCCTTGCTTTCACTTTCTCTTAAATTTTTTTGAAATTGGGTGAACATACCAATTTAGGTTTATCCTCGTTTTCCGAAAAACCGGCAAATTTCCTCACAATGAAATGAATTTATGGACCGTTTAAATTGTTGACTTTCTTTATTTTCAGTAACTTTGATGTTTTGACTTTCTCTTTTTTTGTAATTTTAACAGTTTGACCACTACTACACACAAAGGTCCGATAAGAAGAGCATTGTCTTCCACAAATTAATACGCGAGTGAAACCAGGTAGTTTGTTTCCAAATTTCCATTCTGGGACTCATTTCCCCAGTTACAAAATTGGAATAGTGGTGATTTACACGGACCACTTTCTCCTACTGAACTTCCACTTTCGTGACGAGTGTCAGGCTTCCAGAAGAGAGACGACTTTGTAGCGTTACGAACAGGAGTGCAGGTCGTCGTCGGTGAGAGTTATGGAAATTGGGATGGCAAAGAAGAAGTTATCGAGAGTCCTAGTTTTGCGCGAGTGAGAGTTGTGTGAATGTTAAGCGATCGAGAGTTGGCTGTATACTGGGAGCAGGACCAAGTTAGCAGAGCTCGTCTCTTCTGCCCGGCTCAAAACAATAACACAGGCAACCAGCTGGCTATGGGTGGGTTGTTACCATCAGAATCAGGTTCATAACATGCAGCAGATATTATTACGTAGAAGAAGACAAGCGTTCTTTGGGGTTTCCTCTGATGTGCGATGTGCGAGGAGCAGCAGGAGCAGAGGGGAATTTTTACGATGTTGATATCCCTCTGCCTCTGCTGTTGTTAAGCCAGTTTGAGCCAACTCTTGGGTCGCTCGGGGAAGGAAAATTTAGCATTGCGTTGCTTGTTCTCCCTCCCGATGCGGTACTGCGCCACGCGAAACGAGCACATCATAATATTATGTGCACCTTCGTGCTTACTTGGTGCACTTGCTTGTGCCACATTCGCCCCCTACGCGACCACCACCTCCCCCTAAAAAGATAAGCAGGGGGTTGCCGAGGAAGTTGGGTGGGTGGGGTTGGCAGAGGGGAATTTAACAACACCCCAAAGGTACACACGTAGCGGTGATCATCGATGAGTGGGTGACCTCAATTTCAACCAGAATCAACTGCTCTTTCTGAATTCAACGTAGCAGTCTGTGCTGTTGGGCTGCAAGAGTTGGCGATGTTCTCTGAAATGTAATGCGTAATTATCTTTTGCAGGCGTTGGTGCATTCGATATGCAATGAGATGAGCAGAAAAGATTCGGAGAAAGTGGTGGGTGAATTGCACGGTGGTGGTGGTGATGACACATCAGAGGAGTTGTGGTACAACCTGACGCAATGCAACCGGCATTTAAACGAATTGCCGGTATTGCACGGTGGTAGTACAGCGAAGGGAAAGAAATGAATACGTCATTCCGCATTTAATATTCCACTTCATGTGCACACTGCTACTAAATAAGTACGTGTGTACACAGATACCTGCTACTGTCATAATATGCAATATTCCTACTCCTCCATTTCATCGCTAATGATGCCGACGAGTCATCCGCACAAAAATCGTCAGACTCATCATTCGCTCTTTAATATTTTATAAAACAATTTGTCTAATCGACTAGAGCAATTTATGCATGGAAATAAATGGTGCTAAAACCCAAGTTCTGCCTTACGTTCCGTTTGGACCGGGTGCAGGAGAGACAGCAAATGGCCCACTTCAATCCTGCCTAATTGAGTTCTTATCAAAGTACAAAGTCTAAATTTAGCCATGTACATATAATAAGACGCAGCAGCAGCAGTAGCTAGTTTGCACTTGTGATGACAGAAGTATATATTAATTACAATAGCAATTGTGGACGGTGATAACAACAGCATAAGCCAAGATGAAGACGTAGTAAGACGCACAGCATTCATCTGATGATCCCAATACAGCTTGGTTTTTGGTTAATATTAATACGTAAGGCAGGAATTATTACTCTTTCCGTCAAATCTCCTCCCAACCGTTGCACACCTCGTGATGCCGTATCAATCACAGATTTCAGTTACTAACTGCTCCCATCCTCCAACCACCTTTGTAATACTCATCACCACTTCACCTTGCCAACTCAAGTGTACCTAATATGTGTCTTATATGAACAGTTCTTAATGTGTGCAGTGTCCTCAATGATGATCATTAGATGAACCACGAGAAATGAAGAACAGATATAATTCGTTAAAGACGTACAAAGTTATGTGTTTACAGTTCTGTATTAAAACAATTTGAAGATTTATTGTGTGCCAAGCGAAAAAACAGCTTGTGTTGTGCTGTTATCATTCGAGTCCATTTAGTCAATTTTTCCGTGCTGTTGGACTATGTAGTATGTATGTAAGCATCGATGACCGTATGTATGTACATATTGCCTGACACCATTGTTTGTTTCCTCATCCAGCCGAGCATAATGGAAATAATATTTTATACTAATGTTACATTATGATTAGTCACTAGTTCATTAGCCGGATTAAGCACACTGTAATAATCCAGCCATTGCTCGGTTGGACATATCCGGCATCAATAGGGAAACAATAAAATAATAAACGCCCAACTCATTGCCACAAGAGTTACATACTTACATCCTACTACGTGCATACATACATTTCTTTCTCATCCACTGAAACCGGCAATTTAGCCGGCTGTGTATATGAATAAAATTGAAAGGAAGTAAGGAACTGGGAGCTCATATCTATGATAATCCGCCGCATAATAACAACCGATAGCATCGCTTGGTTTAATGGAAGGGCGAACTGTTGTCAGTGGTTGTGGAGCTGCATTTTATTTTAGCTGAATTGTGATCATTATGCATCTTTAAAAAAAATTGAAACAAAAGTTAGAGCCGAGTCCGTCCATTCAACAGGGTCCACTTGCCTTGCGTCCTGACTTCTCTCGACTCAGTCGCCCGGAATGCCTTCCGCTTATCCGCAGGTGGGGCTCATCACAAAGTTACACAGTCACCCTTCCACCCAGTAATGATGATGAGGAGAGAAGACGACTAGATTCCTAAGCAACAACTTTGACCCTGCATGCGAGTGGCCAACCCCACTCTCCATATTGGAGCTGATACAAAATGATGCAAAATATGAGTGGGCATAAACTGCCTTGGGGAGTCATGCGAAAGAGTGGTCCCTGTATATGAGTAATTTCAGTAATTTCCTAATCCTGCAGCTTGCTCGAAAAGTTATTCTAAATTGCTTACAAAGTGAAATAAACTCTCAGTGAACTTGCTACAATTTTACATACTTTCAGGAGATACTTATAATGATGCATTTTTGGGCCAGCTAAATATATCATGTGCCTCGTTGGATGATTTCATCATGAAATAATCGAGGGCAAAAAGTTTCTTCGTTGTGAATGCAACCTTGTAAACGTTGAAAGATATCGAATGTTTTCGTATCAAACGATTTTAAAGACGAAATCGTGTATCCCATACTCCTCATCTCGTGGTTTGTTCGGTGGGCAAACATGGTGCAAATAAAAGTGCCTCATCACCTTGCCATGCCGAGAGGTAAACAATCGGACAGCCGGGTTCATTTCCCTTCTACCACTGCTTATTGCGATGTGTGAGTCAGAGCTGCACTAGCCATCAAGAATCAAGAACGAACAACGACAACGACGACGACGCGTAACACAGGGAAAACATTGCACGAAATAAAATGCCAAAATATCCTTCTGGTAATAATAGTAATGCGAATGAACCTTCTTGATATTTCTCAACAACAACGTAAATAATAGGCAATCAATGTGTCATATTGGTCAAATTACTCATGGTCCTCATGTTGTACAGCTAAACCTTTACACCAATTTACTTCGAACTTATATTTAGCCGTAGCAAGGGTGGTGAATCTTCCTGTGGTGGATTGTGGGTCTGCTTATTGGAGAAAGTTTAAACATGCAATTATCCATTTTACTCCATTTTATGATCTTTCGCTACGCATAGAAACACTGCAGATCGTCATCATCATTATGACTTCTATGACATGACTGCTACTTCGCTGTGACATGTGCAACCTAGAAAAATCATGTATCATGATCGAAATATCAACAACTTGGGCAGCATCATCCTGGTGCTTATGAAGGCAGAAAGCAGAGTCGTTGTTGCTAGTGCTCGCAACATTTGATGCGGGAGGGGAGTTTTTGTGCAGGTTTGTTCGTTGAGGCGATTGACCTTGTTTACTTCACTTCTCGGCATTCGCCACGACGCCCCGAACTCTGCAACCGGTATCCACAATCCAACCACCATTCTCTGCACAACTTCCCATGCCACGCCGTTCCAATACGAATATACTCACTTGCGAGGACGACAAAGTGATCTGTTGCTCATCCCCTGACTTGTTCTTCCTACAGATAATAAGCCGGGTTGAGTGAGTGACAAGGATGCAACAACAACGCTATATGCACTTTGCGGATTATGACGAATATGTATGTACACAAATGCTCAAATGTATCAGCATGTACATATGTGGTGCATTGTTTTCCTCGTATCTTTTGTAATGAGCCCCTCGACAGAAAACAAGTACATGGCAGAAACCTATGAAATTGCACACTCATAAAACTCACAAAGTTGAAGAGCTGATTTCCAAGTGTAGCGAGTCCCCCAATTCCATGCTAATCGATTCCTCGCTGCTTGTTGCTTTTAGATTTTCTCTCGAGGAGAGAAGACGCGTGTTCGTTCCCTGTCTAAAATGTACAGCTTTAACGACACCCGTTAAATCCAGCTTGATTCCGAAGTAACGACGTATTCTTCCCTGAATTTAAATCGATCTTGAATTATAATGAGCACATGAGGATGTGTCCCACTGGATGCTTCTCAGAAGAGATAATGGTAATGAGCAGGGACACAGTGATATGAGTTACATCAAAGCGACACAAAATGATAAAGATGATACATTTATAACAGCTTTGCCTGACAATCATTAGGTAACTTTTATGAGACAGGCACCGAGTAAATGCATGCATATACATATTTTGAAATATAATCCCGTAAAATATATTGATCGCGATTCGTCAATGTCTAGTCAATGCTTGTCAAAATTCTTGGAGATCAGTTCCAGCCATCCAATTTCAGGTGGATTTATCATGCTGTCTGAAAGGAGGAGATGCTGAGATTTGAGTTGCCAGAGCTACGACAAAGTGCATTTGGTGGAGTTTTGTTACGTAAGCGAGGGAAGAAGAGGGACGAAATCGGTTGGAAACAGGGAGTGCGTCCAATCTCTGGGAACAGAAGAACAGAGAAGAACGGCCTTGTGCTCTCTCCCGTTGAACTCTATCAACCCACACGAACCACGGCATCACATCACGCTACATGGAAATATTAGTGCAACTACCAAGTCAATAATATTCCCTCTTTTTTAACCAACTCCACTTTTGACTCCTTATTGTTCGTTATATATTTAAACATGCATGTATGCGGACCCACTCTTGCGTGCGATGTGGTTTGGTTTCCTCCACGAGTTGCAAAGAAAAAGAGATTATTCTTCAGGAGATCTCTTAATCTGCTCTTCTTCTTCATCTCAATGTGCCCAAAAACAGAAGAGTGTGTGATGTGAGACACAATGGGAACCAACCGGTTCGGCTTTCACACATGCACGGCAATCCGATACGGATCAATTCAACATAAGGTTATGAAATATATCTACGACACACAGGAAGAG